TCGGCAGAAATTTATAAATATAAAGGTAATAAAGCATATAAAATATATATTACATGAAAAATCCTGGAGAAAAAGACGTTTCTGCAGTACTAGGTATGTCCCATGTATATTAAAAATAGGTAGTAAATTAACACTATTTCTGTATTTTTTAGATGCAAGAAAATTTTGTTATGTTTATGATCGGCGATTTTTTTGAAAATGGAAACAATTTACAGCAAGGTAAGATCATTTTTAACTATAGCCAACATTAGTTATCTCCAGTATGTGCGATTTATTGTCAATAATGCAGTAAATCTGACTGATACAATCCGATTGTTATCCGACTAAAACTCTTTTTGCTTCTTTTTTATTTATAAACCAGGTCTCATTGGGAATAATGGACGCTTTTTTTAAACAGTATATTTGTATTTTATACCTACTGATATTTTTATTTGTTAATTTTAGTATAAAAAAAATTGTTTTCTGTTTTCAGGTTTTTGTATAAGGCTCCCGTTTTCATGTTTCTGCCCTCGTTTTCTGTCCCTGATGGCTGTGAATACGTGTATTTATTTACAAATTACTGTAAGTCATGCTTATACCTTACTAATTTACGTTAAAATTGCATATAATTAAGTAATTGCTGTTGAAATCTTTCAATTCTTTATTTTTTATATATATTTAGTCACGTTGTCTCATATTTCAAATAAATATGTTTGAATAAAATTTTGTTTTGTTTTATTTATGATAAGAAAGAGTACAAAATACATTTAAACTGAAAGAGGGCCCGCCATTGAATAACCGGAAACGGAAATAAATACGAAGCCATCATGTCAACCTGTCAATTGGAAAATTAGTTCTCCAGACGACAACGAAGGCTTTCGGTGGCGTATCGTGTTTCCACGATTTAACACAGAGTTGACACTTCTTTCTCGTTAATTATTTTATGGATGAAACTACCCCTCAAATATTACCAAGTTATATAATAATATCGCCATATTGTTTTTTCTCATGCTGATATAAATGTGAGAAAATTTCATCCAGTTTATATGTTAATGGAAATTCTTAGCGGGTACACGCTAGTTACTTATATGGTTGTAAATAAATAAAATAAACTGACTCAGTTTTACATGAGATCTCACAACATTTTATAGTGGAAGAATTGTATTGCGAGACTTCTGGCATTTTTTACATTCTATGTTTTCGATGGGTATATTTGAGATCACGATCCTTAGGCATGAGAATACGATTAAAGCGAAGAAGTAACCGTAAAATCTGAACAAACCTAGGAAAAGAGGTAGTGCGAAGAGTCACCGGTTTTCTGACAGGCCGAAGATACGTCTTTATTGTCGGCGTGGTGGTACCCGAGGTACCGCTCGCTGGGTTCGTTTCCCTAGAAAACCATTTCGGAATTCAAGCTGTTCCGTCTCTTCGTCCTACACGCCACGCAGCTCGTAATTCTACGCCTTTTGTTTATGGGCCTTTTGTGTGTCCCGAAGGCGAGATAGCGTGAAAAGGATTTCGAGAATTCAGGTTCTAGCTCTTTCTCCAACCGATTTCCTCTTTTTCTAGTTATTTTACTGTGATTTCCTTTGGTCTTAAGGTACTGGCAACAGAACGACCTGGTTTTATTACAAATTCTTGCAATGGAACAAATAATTGATTGAAAACTGACGAAGATATTCTGTCAGGCAAAATTAAAGAACAAATGTTTAATACAGTGTCGCTTTTATGTATGTAAACGGTCGATTATTAGATAAATTATAGGAGGTATCGCAAAAAGTTAAATATAAAAGTTATAGAGTTTATAAATATCTATTAGCGGGTAATAAATTTAAGTATACAGGGTCGGTCGTAAAGTCGTGGCACATCAAAGTTTCATTTTTTTAAATGGAACCCCCTGTACATTATTGCATATTTCGGTTCTTCCTTCAATTCTAAGCAAAAATCGAAATACACACAATGTACCTCATACCAACCGTTTCCGAGTTATTGACTTTTGAAAATATCACTTAAAGATGATAATTTCAAAAATTTCACTAAAAAAATTAACTCCATTTCCTACAGCTTTTAAAAATGTCTGCCTTTATCGACCAAGGCGACATCTGCCCCATTAAAAATACGAAATAAGTACCCACAAAAGCCTCTCCTTAATTAAGATGTGAGATGTGTCATTATCTCGACACATAAATTCTTGTTTTTTTTCTTCTTCTTGGTTTTTATATCGTTCTTTCTTGTTTTAGGATCTTCGGGTTATTTTATTTCTAATCTTCCCAAAGTTTTTTTGGCACCTGTAAAATCTACAGACATCTCCCTATCGAAGTTGATCTTAGAAAAAAAAAATGATTACCTATATGTAATTATATCCTAGGAAACTTTGGTTTTTGTGACATTTGACAGCATATACCATTTCTATTAAGACAAAGTTTAAAATTAAATTAAAATTCTTTTAATTATGTAATAAAATTATTTTTTTTTTCAAATGTCACAAAAGTATTAGTTTTTGCGACGTGATTGACAGTATAAAAAAGTCATTTTAACTCCTAGGCATAAAAGTAAAGCACTTGTACGCCTAAGCACAAAAGTACGAAAATATACTATTAAATTGACATAAAGTGTCAAATTCAACGAGCGGAACCATAGTTTCTCGATACATAATTACATACAAGGTATAACTTTTAAATCTTTTTAAATTATTTGGAACGTTTGAAATTGTTTAAAAATTATTTGTGGCGTTTGAAAAAAAAATAGCATGTTCTATTCGGAGTAAAAATGACTTCTTGTACCTCGGCTTTATGTTAAACGTACACACTCCGTTAAACGGCCACAAAAAGTATCATATTATTGTTTGTTTTTATTATTTAAACTTATACAGATCTTCTAATGCTATTTATGAACTTTATTAGTTTAAATTGAAAAAAAAATATATGTGCGAGGGTACTTCCCCGCGTACTGCACTGTATTTAAATTAGTTCTGACGCCACAGAACCAGAACAAAAAAAAAGAACTACTCACGTGCTGTGGCCGATTCGCCGAAAGCATGGAGATAATGTCTTTATTCTCGGCAGTACAGGGAAAATAAACCATGGAGAAGTACCTCGGGCTTGCACCAGGTCGTTAGACCCATGGAGAGTACCTACACTCTGTGTAGTACCGTATGATCGAAAAAAAACGGCGTCACAGACGGCCGGGGAATGAAAATCGATGATAATTTTGGCTAGATCAATATCTAGATGTCATTTATTGAAAATTCATATAAAACTTAAGTCAAAAATTTACACAAATTATAGAAAGATATAAATAAAAAAGGATGGAACGTTTCAAGACACACAAAACTATAAGCCATACCAATTAGACTTTTAGTTGCGTAACCGAGGACGTGATTTTTATTCATTGTTGCCAAACATGGACATATTTGGCGCTAGGCTGACTAACTGGAATTTATATTTCCCGCTGGGGATTCAGCTGGTAGCTCTGCTGTAAAAAATGCCTGTAAAAAATGTGTGTGTTTTATTCAATATAAAAATAATCTCTAGGATCTCTAGATTGTCTTTCCCCAGCCATCTTTGACGCCGTTTGTTTTTTCACACCCTGTAACTACATCATTTTTTCATCTTTCAGTACCTATTTCTATTGATAAGTACCAATTTCATCAGTTACATCTCCTTTTTTCGGGTCTTCTTAATACGATTCAGGCTCTGCATTCAAAGCCGATTGTTCGAAGTCTTTTATTTGCTCTGACAGCACCTGCACGGTTGCTCAAAGGACCACAAAAGGTCTCGCTGATTGACGTAGGATCTGTCATTGGATACGGAACTTTCCAAACCCACGTAGGGTGCCACCATTTTCTTGAGCGACATGCTAAAAGAACAAGATTGATGGTACTATTCGCTTGTCCTTTATCTGTCATGGTATTATAATATGTATGCTGGTTGATGTAGGCACCTGTTGCATTGTGCGATGGTGGATAGATGAGCTTATCAAAAATGTTTGTAAAATTTGGTGTAGTGTTACGTTTTGGGTGTTGTACTGTATGATCGAAAAAAAAACGGCGTTGAAGATGGATGGTGATTTACTAAATTAATACATAATACATTTTTTATGAAAGTGAATCAAATTATTTACTAATTTTTAATTTATTACTTTTTCAACATTTCCAACTATACTTTTCAAGCATATGTCCTTCAAATCCTTGAATTTTATTTATTTACTTCAAATATGCGTACCGGGTGTCCCAATAAGAATAGCTCTCGGCTGTATCTCGGAAAGTATTAGCCGTAAAGCCTGCGGAAAAAAATATTTATAACTAAAGGGGCTATGAGAAATTGCTGGAAATTATTTTCAAATTTGTAAAATTACCGCTAGGTGGCGCAACTGCTATGGAAAATAAGAAAATAGATTTTTTACAGAGTTTTGCTTAGATAATGGGTACTATAAATAATAGCTTCATAATCTTCAGTAAATTTTGGATTTTTTTTGTTAGAACCATTTTCCCCTATCTGCTAAAATAAAGTGGTGGGGGAAGGTTAGATCTATCTTTATATAAATGTTAATAACTCCGGACTGGATGATCAGAATCCAACAAACTAGAACTCGTTTAAAAGAGCGTTTCTTACTCTATATTATGCCATAAAAATAATAATAATATGGTTTTGAACATAGACGCTAGGGGGCGCTTTCTTACAATTTAAGAAACATAGCGCGTTTTTTCAAAAAAATTAAATACAATAGTATGTGTTATTTTAGCTGAGAGTAAAGAGTAGTAAAAGGTTAAAAAGTCAGCGAAAACCGCATCTTGATATCTGCTTTCAAACCGAAGATATTAGCAAAATTATAATAAATACCAAAAAAATAAGCGCTTAATTATCTTATTTTTACAACACGGTATCAGTAGCCCTCTTGATTATGCCCATTCTAACAAAAAAATAAGATAGAAACAGTTACTTTATTTTAAAATCGACGAAGTACCAGAATACCATAATACCTAGATGTATTAATATCTAATAATTAAGTAAAACTCATAATTTTAAGTCAAAAACAATACTTTATTAAATAAAAATAATTACATATCATAAACAAAAACGATATATTCAATTTTATTGTCTATTCGTTTTTTTTAAACCTTGTCAATGTCAAATATAAATTCAAATATAACACAATATTCCTAGTATAACAAAAAATCATATTTTTTATTATCTATTTCTTCTAATGTACAATATATGGATAAACTTTATTTATTTACTACCGTGATAATAGTAATAATCCTAATTTGTCTTTATTATTTTTCTACATACATATAGGTACTTTGAAAAAATATACAAAAATGACAATACTGTTTTAAGTATAAGTACTAGCACGTACTACAACATACACATGTTTTTTATAGCTTATAATGATATTTTACCAAGAAGGCTTTTTTTCTTTTATAAAATTCCAAAAATAAAAAAAAATAATATTTTACCTTAACTATGCCATTTTTTTTAAACAAGAATTTATTATATTATGCACTAGTTGATATATTTATATGTCTAAATCTTTGTCTAAATTTTTACGAAAAAAATATAAAATAAAAATTTTTAACGCAATTTTTTTGAATGAAAAAAAAATAAAATTTAAATTAAAATAAATTATTTTTAAAAGGTTTTTTAATTTATTTCTTTGGAGGTACCAACTCAAATTTCCAAATTTTGTTGGGTCCTATTTCTGCTACGTACAGTGCAGAACCATTTGCACACACGGCGATATCATGAGGATTGGTGAAACCCTGTAAAAAAAGAAGAATAACATTTATTTTATTCAAAAAAGAACAAAAATAAGACATATTAGTTCATTATCGCTACAAATAACACTGCCGAATTTCATAAAGTTCATTTTATAACTCATGATCATGATTATGGAGGCTAAAAGCACAGGATATCTAGCTACCATTCTCTCTACATCTCCTTCACCATTTTGTCAAAAAAATAGTTTTGGTTTATTTAAAAAAAAGAAATATCGGAAAGTATATTTAATTATAAGTGTTTAAAGAGAAAAAAAAAAGGGTCAGCTGGTATACATATTATTATAAAGTAACGATTTATTTTTATATTTACCTCTTCAGGTTGCCAATGATCTATCACAGACTCTGTTTCGGGGTCTATAGTTAACCCCTGGATAGGTAACATCCGGTTAGTGGGACCATTTACTGCATAAATCAGTTTTCCTAGAAACCAAGTAAAAAAAATTATTTTTTCCATAGCAACTGTTGAAATTGCCTTATATATATATTGCCGTCTTCTCGCACGTTTTTTAATTGCTTCCATTTTTGATAATTTTGTATTCCTTTTCATAAGTTATTCGAGATTTAAATGGAAGTAGTTTGGATATGGCGTTTATCGCCTCAGCCTGAATATCTGTTGGTAATTTACTTATTTCGTTTTGAGCCATTTCTGGCTCCAATCAATCAGCAATCGACACGAAAGAGAATTAAAAAATATTGACTCAAAACTGACAACTAAAGAGACAGCTTTATTTATTTGCCAAATTACATAGAAACCAACGCCAACCCAGCACAATATTTTTTCTACTCCTTGTAATAAATTCCTTGAAATAATAATTTCTGAATATTTTTTAAAACGTAACTGGCTATGGAAAAAATATTGTTTTATATACACGATGATAAAATACCATTTTATCGTCTTGTATAAAAAATAACTACCTATTATAATTAGTTATTACTGAAAAGATAGTTAAAATAGATTATTTTTCCTAACCTTTTGCAGCAACAGCAAACACCCTTCCCATATCGGGCTGTTGAATGGTCAGGGCAGGCTCCTTCTTGCCCTGTACGCTGTAGAGTCCTGCCCTGGGGCATACAACCCTCATATTCTCCCTATCAGCTATACATAACCTATCTATGGACTCGATCAGTGCCAGAGAATGAGGTATTTGCAATGAAAGAAACTCTGAAACAAAGTAAAAGAAAAAATATGATAATCTAATGTTCAATTAATATCCTCTATGCCGACGATACGGTCTTAATTGCAGACAATATACACGACCTACCTACCTAATAAACAGCTGGTCAACAAGGTAAGAGAACAGAGCAAAGCAATGGGTTTAAACATCAACATCAACAAAACCAAATTTATGATTATATCCAGAAACCCAGATACGTTTATAAACTCCATCCTAACATTTAACTCAAGGCCCATAGAAAGAGTAGATAAATTTAAGTACTTGGGCATCTGGCTCTCCGAAGATTGGACATCAGACAAGGAAATTAAATGTCGCATCGAACAAGCTCGGCAGGCATTCTTGAGGTTTCGAAAAGTACTTTTCTGTTCTGATTTTGACCTTAGTCTTAGATTAAGATTCGTAAAGTGTTATGTGTGGTCGGTGCTCCTTTATGGTATGGAAGGTTGGACATTAAAAGCAGCTACCATTAACTAATTGGAGGCTTTTGAGATGTGGCTATATCGCAGAATCGTGAAGATACCTTGGACGGCTAGATTGACAAATGAGGAAGTTTTCAGACGCGTTGACAAAGAGCGTGAATTATTTGAATTGATTAAAAAGAAAAAGACCGCATACCTGGGGCACATAATGCGAAACCCCAAATATCAATTCTTGCATTTGTTGATAGAAGGCAAGATCGAAGGCCGGAGGGGTATCGGAAGGAAGAAAATGTCTTGGCTGAGGAATATTAGACAGTGGACATATTAGACAATTGATTTTAAATAAATTATGTTAATATCTTACCTGGTGGGTTTGGTATAACCCTCAGTAACCCTCCTGCAGCATTGTATTTCAGTATCCTGCTGTTGCAGTACCCGTCAGCAATGAATATTTCCCCTGTAGTTGCTACCGCGATTGATGTAGGTTTGCACAAATGTTTAGAGTCGGATCCTGGTGTAAATCTCTCGCCGAAGGTCAGAGTCGGTTCCAGCTCACCAGGTTTAAACTAAAAATTTAAAATTGTAAATTATACAGGGTAATTTGAGGTACCGAGCATTGGTATCTCGGAAACCGTAATAGATACCGAAAATGGTTAAATCGGAGCAAAGTTGCCTCCTTGGGATGTTCACCAAGATGCCATCAAAAAAGTTTTAAAAATTTCAAGGATTGCTGAGTTTTTTTTGGAAAAATCAATTTTATTTTTTCCTGTCGTTACTTTTTAGAAAATCAAAAAACTAATTACATATTCTCATAGCCACTTTATTAGGGCTATCTGATAGTATTTTTAGATTTTCCAATTAACTGAAAGTTTGCGAGATACAGAGGCCAAATTAATTTTCTTATATACGGACCTGCATTTTTTATTTTAAATTTTGAAAGAACTCGGTCTCCTGAGTGCAATGATATGCCACATTTGATACTTTTTTTTGTTTTGGGTACCTTAACAATAACAAAACTATTTAATTACTATTTAAAATAATTTCAAGTCCGACTCTGGTTTTTTAAACTATTTAATCTGATTATATTCATCGCAATAATATTGATCAGCGCTAATTAACATTGAATAAGGAAAATCGAGCCTATTGAAAGATTCAAATAAGTAATATCTATATAGGTCAGCAATTTAAAAATATTATTTTTAACTTTTTTATTGTGAATTTGAAATCTCAGTCAGTGTACGATCTAATAATATGCATAATACCGTATGATCGAAAAAAATGGCGTCCAGTTGGCTTGGAAATGACGATCGATGACATCTATAAATATTATCAGATAGCCCTAATAAAGAGGCTATGAGAATGTCTAATTAGTTTTTTGGTTTTCTGAAAAAAAAACAACATGAAAAAATAAAATTGATTTTCAAAAAAATCCGTTTTTTCCAAAAAACTCAGCAATCCTTGAAATTTTTAAAACTTTTTGATGGCATCTTGGTGAACATTCCAAAGCTCTACTTTGCCCCAATTTAACCATGTTCGGTTACGGTTATTACGGTTATATTTACCATGTTCTATTACGGTTACCGGGATAACAATGCTTGTACCTCGAATTTGTAGCACCCTGTATACAAAAAATCCAAAGCAATAATAGTAATGATGTATAAAACATCCCAGAGGCCAAAAAATCTATGTACAGGAAATTTTGTATTTTTACCTTCTGTAAATTCTATACTTCTAACAATTTTGAATAATTTATTTCATAAAAAAAATAATTTAAGGTATAATACCTTATAAGCTTGATGTAAGGCCACATCCGTGATCCACAGGTTGTCATGCCTGTCAATTGTCAATCCGTGAGGCATGTAGAACAAGTCAGCACCCCATTTTCCCAAAACTTTACCGGTCTGGATATCCAAAGTCAGCACTGTGTGATCTTTGATAGGTCCAAGATGGATTTGCTGGTAGTGATGCGTTTGGTTGTATGAACTAAAATAAAAATTATCTTGACCGATATTATATTATTTTAAAAAATATTTTTTTAAGTAAAAAAAAATAAAAAAGTTGCCGACCCTGCCGCGATTTTTAAAAAAATATTTTTTTTTAATTAAAAAAAAATAAAAAAGTAGTCGACCCTGCCAGGATTCGAACCTGGAATCTTCTGATCCGTAGTCAGACGCGTTATCCGTTGCGCCACAGGGCCTGTGGAGAAAATTTCTCATAGCGCGTATATAACCGAACATTAACGACTGTAAAAATAAATTTAAAATTATGTTTTTCAATAAATACTTCTGTGCTACAAATAAGAGTATTTTTATCATATAAATATTAATAAAATACAGTTTAGTTATTATGCTAGGCCAATTTTGTTGTTATTTTTTACTACAAATGTAAAAAAATACAAGTTTTGCGCATTGAATGACATTTTTTTCGTAACAAATGAAAAGGTATATTATTTCTGATACTTTTACTTAAATTATTAAGATTTTTGTATTAAATATGAATGACAACAACTTAGTTGCCATAGTTACGGTGAGAACTTAATTTGAAAATACCATTTTAAGGCCTTTTTCGCGCCCATTTTTACACTTAAAAATGAATATTTCTTATTTATATTAAAAAAAACTTGCGTAATTATAACAATTATAAAATATAAACATATTTTGAAGATAGAAAAAACTTTTTGTTAAACTGGAATATTTTTTTTTATAAAAAAATCAGTAGTTTTGTTGGTCACTAATGTGGCATTTTGCGCACTAGATACAAAATTTACTATGATATGCATAAAACAAAGTATTTTAGCGCCAAAAAACACTACACAACTTTTTTGGCACAAATAACATTAAAAAAATCGAAATTCGCTTGTAGAAAAATAAAATCATATTTTTAATATTTTTTTATATAAAAAATTTAGTAGTAGCTCACTATAAAGTAGCATTTTGCTTTTTTGCATAAACCTTTTTGGCAAAAATGACTTTTAAAAAAATGAAAAACAAAATCATATTTTCCGATAATAAAATTTTATCCACTTATTATAAAAAACACCCTGTATACACAGTTCTACTTACTATTGGTCCCATAGTCGATCACCTCGGTGAAACACGACAGGTTGCAGGGCCGTATTGACCGAAACAGCCGAAACTTGGCCCAATTTCAAGTCCTCCTGAGGCCAATTTTTGACAGCTCTAGGAATGTCAGGTTTGTCGGCAGGATCATCGCCAAAAATGTGCTCGGAAGATGGCGATTCGGGTCCCTAGAAATTTGACAAGTCTAAATATACAGGGTGTTTCAAAACAAATGCGACAAACTTCAGGGGGCAATTCCTTGTTTAAAATAAAGGATAGTTCGCTTCATAAACATTGGGTCAAAAGTCAACCATTAGGGAGATATCGCGGTACAAAGATGGCGGAAAAATAATGTTTTTATTTTTTATCTTGAAAACGAAAAGAGATAGACTAATGAAATTTTATGGGAGCATTACTGTTATGAAAACACACTTTCTGGTAATTTTTTCACTTTTTTAAAATGAGTGGAAGGGGTTGAAATAAACTACCCTACCATTCTTGTTAACGAAATTTAAAGAAAAATCTTATCAAATACATGCAAAAAAAATAATTTGGATAGCTTGGTTTGTTTAGAAACTTTTTTATCTCTTGTGTTTCTTTGATAAAACTCGCCGATTTGAAATTAAAAAATAAAATGTAAAGCATTACATGTCAGGATAAAAAACATTTTTATATAAAGAATCTAGTGATAATAACGATAATAATAAGAATCTAGATAATAACGTATTGCAGTAGAGTAATGTCAATAAAATAATATTAGAAACATCCCCTAAAAAGTGACAGCGACCGACTAGATTTTATCCTAAAAAAATTAGAGCAGCCCACTAGATTCTCTATCTAAAAATGTTTTTTGTCTTGACATGTAATGCTTTACATTTTATTTTTTAATTTCAAATCGGTGAGTTTTATCAAAAAAACATAAGAGATAAAAAAGTTTCTAAACAAACTAAACTATCCAAATTAATTTTTATGATTTTTTTTGCATGTGTTTGATAAGCTTTTTTTTTAAATTTCGTTAACAAGAATGATAGGGGTAGTTTATTTCAACCCCTTGCACCCATTTTAAAAAAGTGAAAAACTTACCAGAAAGTGTGTTTTCATAACAGTAATGCTTCCATAAAATTTCTTTAGTCTATCGTTTTTCGTTTTCAAGATAAAAAATAAAAACATTATTTTTCCGCCATTTTTGTACCGCGATATCTCCCTAATGGATGACTTTTGACCCAACGTTTATAAAGCAATCTACCCTTTATTTTGAACAAGGAATCGCCCCCTGAAGTTTTTCGCATTTGTTTTAAAACACCCTGTATATAACTAGTTGAAGCCTGGCGCATCCGCGACGACATCAAAAAAATACTATTTACTCATTTTTTTTTTAATTAAATGAAAAACAAAAAATCCGGCGACGACAGTTTTTAGAAGAGCCAATTAGATATCTTTTAGTAAAAAAAAAACTTTCCAGAGCAAGTCGTTACTTCAGTAGAGACGACACAGATAAACATTAGCATTTTATATTATGTAGATGATACAATAAACTAAAATTTAAAAAAGTTTGAACAAAGATTGGGGTCATAAGACTTAGGTTTGTGTTGGTTTTGTGTATTACAATTTATTATTATACAAGAATAAAGTTGTAAAAGTTATTTTTTCAATTTTTTTAGTAAAATATAATTAATAATAACACGGATACATGATACATCACTTCTGCCAGGTAGTATTCTATACATCTAGTACTTATCCTAACAAATATTAACATAAAAAAAAGGAGAAAAAATTGACAAAGGATCCATTATTTGGTGAAACTGATATGAGCAAATTAAGAAGTACATGATTTATGAAGAGATTAGCAAATATTTGACAATAATCGATTATGGATAAACTAGGAAATAATGTACATTATTTTAGCATAATCTATATTCCATCTTTTATTTATACATTCATTATTCATACCTCAGTGAGACTATGCTATCGGAAAAAAAACGGCGTCAAAGACGGCTGGGGAATGACAATAGGTAATAATTTTGGCGAGGTCAAGCTCTAGATATCATTTATTTGGCACGTACTTTCTTGTATTTTTTAATGGTACTTAACACGACAGGATCGGGCTAAACCTTAGGGAGATTTCAACAAACAAAAAAACAAAATGGACAAAGTGAAATTTGTCGAAACAATTAAAGAAACAAACAAAACAAATTATTTGTTATTTAGCACTGGTTTTCACTAGATTTGTCTCATTAGTAACTATATGGCATCTTTTTAATATAATTTGTTTTATCATTCAGTACCAGGTATAACCAATTATTCTCTTGGTGATAATAAGCATCAATAATTATTCATACTGCGTCATAATGTAGTAGAGATAGATTTTGTTTAGTTAGGTTTAGTTTTTTAAAACTCTAGGTATAGTAACTTCATTTTTTTTTATTTGACCACACTCTGTAATATTTATTATAAGATAAGTAGATTTGCGATGCAGTTATTTCAACATAACAAGTAGCATAATCATAAATATTTTGCAATATATTCTTGTTATAGTAAATTATTATTCATATTTTTATTATTATGATTTTATAAACAAAATTAACTAAGATCATAGATATTATTCATGTATACTTCTAATTATAACTTTATTTTTGGGAAATACCCTTATTAGGGAATACCCAATGGAAACTTAACTAGAAATATACAGGGTGGTTTCAAAAATTCAACGATATTATATTTTTAATACATATAATTATACAAAATGTGATTTTTTTATTTGACCTATACAGATTTTAATATTATGTAATTTTATTAAAACCAAATGCTCTACTTTCACTCATATCATTCAACTATCAACATACTAACCCATTTTCTTATAAGTATAAAATTATTAGTAAAAAAAATCAAAGCACAAAATTAAGAGCTATTTTTTATATTTATACAAAGGATTGTCAAAACTCCATTGAGAGTGACTTTTTTATTGATATTTTCATTGGCTTCCTTGGTGAAATATACCGTTATCTTCGAAAAAAATAGGCGTCCAGTTGGCTTGAAAATGACGATTGATTTTCCTCATATAATTTTACATATAAAATGACAGCGATCTTTAGAGAAGATATTATTATTGAAGCTACATTCTTAATTTGTGACACATAGTGGTATAGAGAATTTGATACTGATTTCAAATATCTTCAAAATATACAGGGTGTCGCAAAAAATACAGTAAAACGCTTTAGGTTATATCAGGCACGTAGCACAATATAGGTAAAAATTTGAAACTATTTTTGTTGACAAAAATTATATTATTAAAACCTCTAATTTTGCGTTCAAATAAAGTATCTCGTTGGAACAGGCTTACACAGGACACTCAGTATGTGTTTATGTTATTCAGAGAATCTATTTTTGTTATTTAATATTAATATGATGTCAGCGTGGTATTTTTTCTATTTTTTTAATCCATATAAAAAATAAGTTGGTTTAGAATACACAAACCAGGAACTACATTGTTTGAATTTTAATTGTAGGTACTGCTAGTACTATTACAAGAATGTTAATTCTAACAAGATGTGTTTAAAATATTTTAAATATATACAGGGTGTCACTTAAATAAGTTACAGTATTTTAAAAAGCAGCAGATGTAGATAAACAAAAAAGACATTATTATACTAACTAGTTAAAATATTTTGCACTGATTTAATAGACACCCTGTATAGTAAAACAAGTAAAACCACCTTGACATATCACACGATCGAGAAAAAACGACGTCACGGTGACCTTTGAAATAACAACTGAGAGTAATTTCTATCGTACGAAACCCTTCTTAGATGTCAGTTATAACTAAAATTTGACATAAATCTTCTCAATATTTAATATAGAAAAATGTAAAAAGTTGTTCCAACACAACAGTCTTGCAAACACCATTTTTGCTCTATATACTTTTGAGTTTTGTGTGTTTTAAAGTAAAAGGACAATTTTTAACAATTTTTTTTTAATTAATGACATTTTAGGGCTTCACCTGCAACAATTTGCGACGGTTTTTTTCGGACATACAGTAAAAAACACCCATAAAACTGTTTTTAAAGCTTACCACATCGACTGTTATCAGTACCACTATCAACACGAGGAAAAACAGCAAGGTACACGCAGCTATCACATATTCGCGTTTCATACTTTGTCTGTAACCAAGTTTCCAGCGGTACTACTTGTTTCAAACAAGTAGAAATCGCATTGTTTTGATGCAAGAGAAAAGTACTTTCGACGACCGCTTGCACAGAGTAACTGTTCTCTGGTACCGCTGATACGCTTACATACATTAAACCAGAGTGAAAATGAACTTGGTGAAAAACAAGTACCGGTGGTACTGTCCGGGATTTTTTGGTACTAATTGTTTTGGTTTGTTGGGCGCGCCATGACCTAGAATCAGGTGTTGTTCCCATCATTGTTTTTTTTTCTAAATCACATCTGAAGAATACGATGATTTTTTTAAAGAATGATTTTGGATATTGTACCGTATGATCGAAAAAAAAACGGTGTCAAGGTAGGCTTGGAAATAACGATCAATGCCATTAGAAAATTTCATTTAGAAGATTGCCAAGATTTGAAATGCACACTGCCCATTCACCAATTAATAAAATCATATCAATTCTCTCTGCTGTAGGATAAGTTTCCATTTTCGGCAAATTTCTAAGACTTTTATTCGTTTAAACTGACACAATAGTAACTGGTTGTTAAAGTTAAATTAATTTGACAGTTATATTGAAGTAACGTCAGGCACATCACAGCCGCCTATATTTTATCAAATAATAAAGATCTTCTGGCTCTAAATAATAAAAATGAAAATATCTAGGAAAGTATTTGTATTAGATGTAGGCAACCTCAATAGTATTTTGAAGATAGATGAATTCTCTATTATATCGGAATAATACTGGGTGTTCCATTTGAAATAAAAGAGTAAATTGCTTTTAAAACTGATCAATGTTCAATATTAATTTTGTCTCACCCTGTATAACTTTTCGGATAAAATTTTAATTTGATTCAAAGGACAATGGTTATTTTAACCACAAATTATACTATACCGGGTTAATTTTAATTTAGGTAGCTTTTATTGAAATTTAAAATGTATTCTTCATTTTTAGAAAATGTCAAATATGTCAGAAACCTTACTTTTTAGTCATATGTTTTACTAATGAAACTTACCTTATTTTTTTCCTAGAATCCGAAAATCAATTAATATATAGGGTGTTCCGTTACAAATAACAAAACTTTGAAGTGCAATTTTTTGGCGGACACCCAGTAGAACCTATATATTTTTTAAAAATGCTCTAAATTAACCTATATATGCTGACGAAATTTCATATCAATACAAACTGTCGTTCTCCATGGATCCTCCGCGTCGCATGAGAGACGCCACCCTGTATATGATTTTTCAATTCTCTCGGTTACGTTAATATAAATTATTGACACAGAACCAAATCGATATTATAAATCAATTTTTAGTAAATTACGTCTAGAGAATGACCTCGCTAAAATTGTCATCTATTGCCATTCCACAGCCGTCTATGACGCCGATTTTTTTTCGATCATATGAAGATTACAAAACACCATACATCAGAGATTTTTTTTTATTTAAAGAAAAATCAAGACTTGAAAATAATATATCTATTAATTTAATAAAAATAATATTTAATAAAACAGTTTTCTATATGCTGACAAACAAAAAACTTGTTAGAATATTTTATATACGGTGTCCCAGAAATAAGTGCAAGTATTTTAACTGGTAGTATTATAGTTCAACCCCAGAAACACGCCTATGAGGTTTATTTCGCGAAACAAAAATTAGAAAAGTATTAGATTAAATATACAAGAAAGAGAATCCAGAAAAGATCCAGTGATTCTCAAAATTTTACCAAAAAATCACTTTTTTTGGAAATTTTCAAAGTAAAATAACTCCGTTATTTTGGACTTATTTGACAACCGATAGAGAGAAAATATATAGAGAGTTTATTTTATCGAGATCTACCACCCCTTAAAATACTTGCCCTTATTTCTGGGACACCCTGTATAGGATGTTGTCAGAAAATTAAAACAATATATTTATTCTCTTTTAAATAAATAACAAATATAAAATAATTTGTCTCAAATAACTGCCGTATGATCGAAAAAAAAACGGTGTCAGCGATGGCTATGAAATGGCGCTGTCATTTTATATGTAAAATTTTTTGGGGAATGTCATCGATCGTCATTTCCACATGTGGACGAGATTCCAACATCTATAGTAAAATTCTGTTTGAAATATGTTGATGATATCTTGTGCTATATCATTAACAATTCGCTAAAATATGGGATCTTCCCAGACAGGCTGAAGTTGGCATTTATTAAACCAATCTACAAAAAAGGAGATCACTCTGATTTGAATAATTATAGACCGATTAGCTTACTGCCAAGCTTTTCAAAAGTATTTGAAACAATAGTTGCAAACAGAATATTAACTTTCATGAATAGTTGTAAACTGTTTCAGAATATACAACATGGGTATTTGAAGGAGAAAGGTACCATTACTGCATTGTTCGATTTCACTACATCAATAATACAACATCTGGAAAATAAAGATCTGGCAATGGGTATATTTCTTGATTTATCGAAAGCATATGACTCTTTAGACCACCATTTACTATTAATAAAACTCGAAAAATATGGAATAAGAGGTCCAGCACTCAAATGGATTACATCATACTTGACAAATAGAGAACAACAAGTTATTGTGAGAAAAGACGAAAAGATTAGTAAGTCTAGTATACAAAAATTGAATATCGGTATACCTCAAGGCAGTATCATTGGGCCACTTCTTTTTATCATGTACTTAAACGATATTAGTCAAACAACAAGAAATGCAAATTTTAGCCTTACATGCTATGCAGATGACACTAATATACTTACTCATGGAACAACACAAGATATTCTGAAGGAGAATGGCAGTAAGGCTTTCATGAGAGTAGAGGAATGGTTTGAGACAAATAGACTAATGCTAAATAAAGAAAAACTAATACACTAATTTTTCGAACACAACAGAAGAAAATTGAATTAGCGAGCAATTTGAAAATTGGAGAAATGGATGTCAGCCTTGGTGGTGAATGCAAATTTCTTGGTATTTACATAGACGAGCACTTAAAGTGGACCCAACATATTTATAAGCTATGCTTGAGACTTGGCACAATTTCCTACGGTCTGAGAATTGTGTCAAGTTATGTGAACCCAGACTCAATGAAAACACTATACTGTGGAAATTTTGAGGCACTGCTGAGATATGGAATTATTCTCTGGGGATCAAATTCAGAAACTGCAAAAATTTTTGTGATTCAGAAAAGAATTATAAGACTTATAAAGAAACTTCAGTACAGAGAAAGCTGTCGAGGACACTTTAAATCCTTCGGAATTATGACGCTTCCAGCTCTTTATATATATGAGTGTTTAATATTCATCTTCAAACATAAGTCCCTATTTGAAATGGAAAAATCTCATGAATACCAAACAAGGTCCAGTGATGCCAAGTTCCCCTCACATCGTCTCACCCTGACTGAAAAAAATCCAGTATACATGTGTGTAAAGTTTTACAATAGCCTCCCTGAAGACATAAGAGCAATCGAAAGTCAAGAAACCTATAAGAAATCGTTGAAAAAACTCTTAATTGAATTGGAACCCTATTCAATCAATGAATTCTTAATATAAAAGTCTCTTCACCGCTGACAGTATTTCAATATGTCTATATATTTGTAATTTTATTGTACATATTTAGATCATTTTTGAAATAAATATTTTTATTATTATTATTATTATTATTATTATTTTTATCTGCCGAAGTTTTCAAAATACACTTCGGACCACCCTGTATAATAAATTATTTGTATTAAAGCTTTATAATACCTCTCTGACAGCTCTGTTCAGTGCTAACAACTGCTCAACTTCGTTATACAGGGATTCACCCTCTAATTCAGGTGCGTACTCAAGGGGTGAAGCGTTTCCAACCCCTACAGCGAATACCGCGACCACAAAGCACGACACCAAACTAAAAAATCCTCGTTTGAAAGTCATTCTGGTACCAATTTTTGGTACTGACGCGGTAGGAATGTAAAAAAATCTGACTGAAAACCGTCCGTATGTGTTGTTCTGTGTGGAATTCTTGCGGGAGTCTATAGCTGACTGAAATCGATATGGAGGAGTTGGAGGAATGCTGGGGAGCATAAACGCGCATGGATGACGGGGGGAAGCATTGTTTGACCTTGGGAGACACGGGCTAGTTCTTTTTCCACCCCTAAAGAGGGTCCTGGACGAGTAATTTTTACGATGTCTTTTAATAGCTATTTTTGTATCTACTTTGGTGATCGATACTTGAATTTTTTAGACGAGATCACCAAACTAGTTCGCGCACGAGTTGCAAACAACATTTTTTCTACAAACATTGAAATCGGGATATCCCCAAAAATTATTATTATTATATTATTGCTTCGAAAAAAAAGCATGAGCTTGGAATGTATGTATTACTGAACATCGTCATCGATTTCCTTTTAGATTGTTTTAAATACTTGGTATTTCTGGTGCTTGCCCGCCGTGAGATACTTACTAAAATAACGGTCGACAACATAAAAGATAAAGATTCAGTTTTGATTGTTAAAGTTCCCGATACAAAAACAAACATAGACCGAGTATTTACAGTATCAAATTTGAATTATATTGAGATTTACCGAAAATACGCAGCTCTTCGTCCAAGAAATGCTACCAGTCGCAGATTGTTTTTAAAGTATCAAAATAAAAGATGTGTTAACCAAGTGGAGTCGGCATAAATTCTATTGGTAAGATGCCAATGTCACAACCTTGTCATTTTTTGACGTTTGTAGATTAAAACTCGCTTTAAACTAATTTTTGCAGCTTTAATCTAAATAAAATATCTATTACAAGCATTTGCTCTATAAAGTAAAATGCAGAGCTACCCGGTATCTTAAATGATACAACAAATTTAAACATTTTTGCCAAAATTTCATTCGGTTCAGGGGCTTTAGTGTGAATTTCGATATGAATAATGACGTGCATCGGAAAATGGTTTTGTGATTACCGTACATCACAATCAACCGTATAGGATAGTCTTTAGAATTAGATTAAGTAAATTATTATTATGGAGTCTTTCTGTCATAATATAGTTTCATTAAATATGTGACGAAACCAGAATATTTTTATCGAATTTTATTAAATTTATTTTTAGATTATCATTTGCTTTAATTTTGTGCACATGCCAATAAAGATTTTTTGAAAAAAAGTTTCAATATTTTATTTATATATTATATAACATATTATGGCATGACTATGGATGATATCAGTATATTGTTAGTACTAAATCAGTATCATATAACAAGGTTTATCACAGTTTTATATTTTTATTATTTTATTGGGCCTTATGTTATTTTTTATCTAGCAAAAATTCTATCAAACATAATTTATGTTGTGTCATTTTAATAATCAATATTTGGCGATTATGTAAATATATTATTTATGTATTTTAATACTTTTACAGATTTAAGAATTTAGTTATCTTGAGGTCAGTGTCAAGTCAAAGAGACGCAAAACTTGATTATTTTTTTAATATATTATATAAAATGCTGGTCGTAGTATACAGTGTGTTTCATAAAAAAATATAAACTTTTGAACATTTTTTTCCCAGCCAAATTTTTATATAGGCTTATTATTTCTGGTGTCCAACTATACTACTACAAGTTCAAATATTAGCACTTATTTAAGACACATCCTGTACAATTAAAGTAATGTGTATTTTAAACACAGTATGTTTTTTTTATATAGGAAGCCTAAAGAGGAATATAATTTTTATTCAAGGGTAATTTTGAAATAAAATAAAAACTACAGTTTTAATAAAGAAAGAAGCTATATTTAATAAAAATAAGTATAGTTATTAACATAACTATGGAGTATAAAATTATTTAATCAAAAATTTAAACTAAATTAAAATACATTTTTATAAAAAAGGAATCATAAAATATGTCTAAAACAAAATAAAAAAAGCATTGTTTCTTACAACATTTCTCACATGATATTAATAAAAAAAGACATGTTTTACGAAAAATATTATTACAAATGACAGGTAAAACACCTCAACCATCTTGATTAAGAAATCAATATACTTATTGGTAATTAAGTATATGAAAATTTAGTATAATTTCGAAGAAATACTCTAGGATTGTCTTAGTCCAGGCTGTGTCCAGATATACCCAGTATTCGTCATGGAGCAGACAGCATTGTAGTACCTTCCCGGAGACCTACAGAAGTTCCACTCTGGACACTTACAACGGAACAGGCTCTGGAACTCTTCTTTGCATACCTCGTTCCACCAACAAGTCCTCTGGAAAAAGAAAAAGTTGAATTTTACGGTTATTTTGACGGTTTGTTTTTTACATATTTACAATTAATTTATTTTTGTTTCCTAATATATTTTGATTAAAAGAAAATACGTAAAAGTGGGCAACGCTGTGCCGCTCAAGCTTAATCACGTCATTAAAAGTTCATTTGATATGAACTATACACCCATATTTTTAAGAAATATTAATAAACCTATCATTGCAATGATTTGTCGAGTTTAGACTATGTTATATTGACAAGAAATTAGTTCAAATGACTTGAGTTGTATAAACGCTCATTTAGCTTAATTATAAAGAACTACTTAAAGTAAAATAATTATTCTAACCTCTGTTAAATATCCATGTACCGAATTATCTGTACTCCTCTTCACCAGAATTCCACCTTCAGTCTTGCAATAACATAGAATAGTAACAATAAAAAAGCAGCGCTAAAAAAGAATATAAAATATCTAAAAAAAATCGTTCATACACTAAAAAAACGTTAAAGTATATTTTAAATAAGATAGACACACCTGTAGTAATTTCTTGAACATTGTTTTGTTCCCTACAAGGGGTGGTGTACCCTAAAGTTTCATCCCTTACAGAAATACCATAGATATTTTCACTTTCCTGACTTGATAATCATGATAAAATATCTTTAAGTATACTTAGAGACAAAAAAAAGAGTGGAATACTTGTGAAAAGCTCTTTGTACTTATTTAAGGGTATTAAAAACGTATATTTCTTCAAAAAATGCCGGTAAATAAGAAGAAATAAATGATTTTGTGGTGATGTTCAGTTATTTTATTGATTTTCGTTATGAAGAAAAGCTGCCTGAATGGTCAGAGACATCTATGTTCGATTTTCACACCCAATGAAAACTGGAAATAGAAGTTCTGTTTGTTTTTCTTGCTGAATTGAAGATATTTTGAATAAATAATAAGTGTTATAGATTTTCAATATAAAAAATTACATTTAGGTCATATTTCTTGATGGTAATTTTCTATAATGGAAGAAGTAAAAATAAATTAATGATATATTGTATTTATTTACGTTCTTCCAGTGTTTTAGTTAAAAATCAATAAAAACCATTATATATATAATTTCAGAAATCATTTCGTTTTTCTCTATTTTTTACCTTGGGTTTATGTCATCACCATCATCATAATGATAACCATTTCTCTCATCTATATTCTCTTTCTATACTAACTAAAATATATAGACTTATTTAAAATTTACCCTTCATTGAATTATCTATTTTTTCGTACATTAATATAAAAACAGTTTGATAAATATGTTTATAATTCCATTATTTCTGTATATTATATTAACTCAATTTCTCTATTTCTAGGAAATTGATCGAATGTTATTTATATCAAGCAAGCCACGAGTGTATTAGTGACAGCCCATGCAATTAGGCTAATTTAAAAATTCCACCCTTGCCAATTCGGAAAATCATCGTCCTTACACGAGGAAGTATGGAAAAATAAGGAAATTGCAAAAACCTGGAAAGGAATAACGACATTGTATAGGATATTGACCTGAAATATTACAAAAAAATGCTTTTATTACGTGAGTTAAGCATGTTTATTAATTTAGTCGATGCAGATTTTTTTATCATTTATTTATCAGTCGTCGCCTGTATGACGCCGCTTTTTTTTCAATCGTATCGAGAGAGAAAAAAAACGACGTCATAGACGACCGAGTAATGATAATCGATGATAATTTTGGCGAGGTCAAACCTTAGCCGTCATTTATTTAACCCGAACTCTTCTTTACCTACACACAAGGTTTTTTTTCGTAGGTTTAGACTGAACAGATAAAACTGACAGGTAAAATATTACGTGTGAACGGGGCTTAACAATTAAACGTAGGATTATCGATTTTAGATTATTTAAAAATAACTATTAAAAAAAATAATCTAATAATACCTAAAAAACATCAACAAAAAAAAACAAAATTTATATGAGTGAAGTCGCATTAACATTGGAGGCTTATCAAGGCAATTTATCAAATTGTAATTACCTGAAACTTGACCTTAACAACATGGACTGCAGCTTCTTGAACCTTTTAAAAAGTCTAGTTAAAAGTCAACGATTTTTTTATTTTTTGTTAAAAACTAATTTCTTGTAGAATTTGAAAAATCGATCATTTTCTAAATCATTATAAAAAAACCTCAGAACAAATAAAATATTTAAAATAACATTAACAGGTCAATGTAATTTATAATTTAGGTTTTATAAATCAATAAAAACAATAAACAAAATTACAAAAACCTTATTGTTGGCAATAAAATGTATAAAATAAATGCCTTACTAAAATATGGCATCATTTACTGAGAAAATAGTGAATTTATAAATAATTTATTAATTTAACAGTTCAATTTAGTGACCTACCTTAACAGTCTATCTATTATATTGATTGTATAATAAATATTTCACATCTGTCGATTTTCTTGAATAAAACTATTAATTTTTTCTCCAATTAGGTCAACCATAATATAAATTTATCCCTTTTATATATTTTTTCCAACGTATGTGTCTTTCAAAAATAAAGATATCTGTATAGATGTGATAGGAATATACTTACATATTATTAATCCTGCTTTAATATACAGGGTGAGTCTTAAATAACACTGCCACATTTTCACACAATGCTTGTAGATCTCGGTAAAAAACACATTTCCTCTTCTAAAAAATCCTTCCTAAAAGAAAAATTCTTCCTAAAAAATCCAAAATTTTATTTTTTTTTCACGAAAAAATCTCATAAACGGGTTCCTGGGATCGAAATACCCTGTATGTTTTGCATTTTAAGCGGTAAATAAAAAATAAACACCGTAATAATATACACATATATCTATTATAAAACTTAACAATTCATAAAATAAATCACCATCTTATTTATACAACAAACTCTGTTTTTTTAAACTATGAAAAGCGTTCTTTGAAAAACTTGAGGGAATATAGTAATTACTCTAATAAATTTTTAAATAATATGAGATTAAAAGTAAAAGTACCAACACAGCACAATTTACAATATTAAAATAAATCTCTATATATTTTAAAATATAATTCACAATATTTAAACTAAATTAAAATAAATAGATATTTTATCTACAATAGTGGCACTTATAAATTCTTTTGAACCATTAGCATTAGAATTTACATTTGCGCACACTTAAAGCACTCACTACCTCCATTTCTTTAAGTGTTCGTTACATTCACACCCGTCAAAACACTAACGTCATCATCAGCATGAACAGCTGACCTGGATTCAGCATACTGCAAGAAAGCCATCAAAGTAAAACCTCCCATAATGCACAGACACCTCCTCAACCTGTACACCCTTCTTTCTTTTTCCCTATTCAACACTTCGAAGAAGGTTATGTACAGAATGGTACCTGCACTAAGTCCTTCCAGGAATACCGTTATTGTGGCCATTGTAGAAAAATTTAGGGTAGCATCAACAGTTACTAGGAGCCCTAGGAATATGCCTAGGGGACTTGCAACAGCCAGGGCGATCATTTGGATCACTATGAATCGCATTTTGGTTTGGGCAAGGATTAGTTCCACTCCCATGACGAATAGGATTGAAGCTGAATGGATACTGACCGCTATAAAAAGGTACCAGATCTCTGAAGTTTGTTTTTGGATGCCTATGGACAGTCCTTCTAGAATAGAATGTAGTGACAGTGCCGCTATAGTGAGAACACATCTCATAACTTGTTCACGATCTTTGAGTTTCTCTTCATCTTCCTCTTCAATAACTGCATTATTGGCTCTTTCCAGGTCTTCTCGTATTGAGTACCTACTTTTGGCACTGGCAGATCTGCAGATGGCTTTTTCGCTTTTTGTAGGCGAGAACGTTACAGAGGATTCGGCTTTCGGTGCGGTTTTGGATGGAGATTCCAAGAAATCGACTTCGTTTTCGAAATTACTGTCGAATTGTCTGTTTTTTTCGTTTAAATCCCATTCTTCGATGGTCTCGATGGTTCTTACTGGTGTGATTTTGTTTGATGACCTAGAGGATTCCTTGTGAAGAGATGTGGCAACCTGGAATTTGAAGAAAGGTAGCTAAATTAGTTTTAAACAGATATTATTTGATGAATTTGGTACTTCGTGAATTGGATATTATAGTCCGTCTAGAAAGTATACGGAATTTTTTTTTAATTTTAATGTATTTTTTTTCTGTTACACTCTAAGACAATAGTAATCAATCACGTAGGTTGTGCCGATAGTAGGCTATGACCAAAATCGCATGTCAACACCATGTGTCAAATATTGTTGATTGTAAACCGGCTTAAAATTTGAGAAATAATGTCGCAAGTAAAAAAAAAGAGAAATAGTGTATAGAAAAGGTGTTCGAAACGTTAAAAAATCAGTGTACAGTTCGTCTGCTGGATATGAATGGAATCTGGTGTCTATGAATGGAATGCGCACAAAAAACATTTAAATAAATAACAATATATTTTATACGTCGACTTGACGAGTACGTCACCGCAAATCGCTCCGCCCACTCATTTTATTGGCTACTTGCAAATTTGTCGAATTTTTATTGATGGGACGCGTCGTCAAATTTTTTACGAAAAACATGGAGAGAATATCGTTTCCCCTCCCACGGATACCCCGTAGCTACAGAACGGACAGACGTACTGTAATTGACAACTCGGAAAAAGTGCAGTATATGAGATAACATATACTGCACTTTTTAGTAAATAAAATTAATAATTTGTTATAATTTTTTTAACTCAAGTCCTAAAAATATATATCGATAATTGTAATTTTGCTTTCTTTTTTTCGGATACTTTCTAGACGGACTAAATTAGTATCCAATTCATATAATAAATATAAAATAGTATACAAAATAGTATACATTATACATACTATAAAATAATTATTACTTCACTCTGTATACACTTTCTAAAGTTGCGATTTTATATTGGTCTAAAGAAATAGAAAGTGAGATATAATTTACCTGACACGAAGCTACTTAGCTATTTTGGGATATAACTAAACTTTTCAAAATTTTACTACAGACACCCAATTCTGTTTGGTGAAAAATGAAAGTCATCGAATCTTCAAGCTATATGTGGCATGCGATGTTAAAATAGGCATGCGAATTTAAATAAAATTTGTGTTTTTTGGCAAACTTGGCAAGTTTTCTTTAACTATTTTCGATCTGGCTTCCTCTAAGACATGCAAAAATATCATGAAAGTTAGAAAAAATAGATTTAAAATATAACATTTTCGATTAATATTTATTTATTTTTTATTTCATATCGATTTGAATTTTTCTCAGTCTCATCCAGTCAACATCTGTGATGGCTATTCACAAAAATTGTCACCAAATTCACGTAGTAATAGCGGCTTCTTTCTGAAAATTTGCGGAATGAGAATAATTTTATAGACAACTTAACTAAGATTGTTTGAGCTCTTGATGAAGTGGCTCGAACCAAAAAAAGAGAATTCCGGTGTATAAAAATTGGTAGAAAAAGAAAATTGACGGAGAATTTTAAATGATAGTAACTAAATTCTATGAAAATGTATATTTTGGAATGTCTAAAGATTGTTTTTATACACTGTTAAAATTGTTTTATATCTATCAAAAATACTAGATAAAATAGTACTTTGACCACAAGTGTAGATTAAATGATACTTTAACAGCGAGGATAGGTTAAAAACTTTATTTCTTCTCGCACGTTTTTTAATTGCTTCCATTTTTGAAAATTTTTGTATTCCTTTTCATAAGTTATTCGGGATTTAAATGGAAGTAGTTTGGACATGGCGTTTGTCGCCTCAGCTTGAATATCTGTTCGTAATTTACTTATTTCGTTTTGAGCCATTTCTGGCTGCAATTCAATCAACAATCGACACGAAAGAGAATTCAAAAATATTGCCTCAAAACTGACAGGTAAAGAGACAGCTTTATTTATTTGTCAAATTACATAGAAACCAACGCCAATCCAGCACAGTATTTTTTCTACTCGTAATAAATTCCTTGAAATAATAATTTCTGAATATTTTTTCTCTCTAGCATTCTATGGTTTTTGATATCCATGAAAAAATTATGGATTTCATGAATACTTTGAGCTTCTGACGATTTTTTCCTCCACTGGATGATATAAGGTATCATAAGAAAAATTTGCCCGCATATAAATTTTGTTTATCCCTAAAATTTATCTAAAAGTAAGAACTCATTGATCATGATTAAAAAAAACTTTTCCCTTTTTTATTATTTTGAAAATTACAAAACGGAGATATAGGTAGGTATATCATAAACATATTTGGCTGTCGTATATATGCATATACACCATTTGGATTTTGGATTTAACACAAACAAAAAATTTGCATTTTTTAATATTCAGAGTGGAATATCTTAGATGCTGATATGGAAATACAATCAATGAAAAGCTTGACGTAATATTTTTTTAAAAGAAGAAATTTATTTTCCTAGAATATAATGGAAATTTTTTATTTAGAAAACACGCACAAAAGAATCTTATACAGTATGTTCCCGGATGGTCTTTACAAGAGAAAAAACACTTTTTTATTATCGACATTTTGAGAAAAAGGGATTCTTCATAAAAATTTCGCTTGTTCTAAAATGGTTAATCCCCTTTATACTTTTCCGAATTTCCATACCGTTTTAGAGAAAATTAAAAAAAAACATGAAAATATGTTTGAATTTTTTCTAGTCCTAAAAATCAAAAAGCGTTTCTTTGGTAATAAATTTTGTGCCTCTTAAAACAGCAAAAATATGACGGTAATTGAAATCCTATCAATCCAAATCTATGACTAGGAAAAATTTCAACTATATTTTCATGTTTTCTTTTTAATTTTCCCTAAAACGGTATGAAAATTTGGGAAAGTGTTAAGGAGATTAACTATTTCTCCAAAAAAAAATCCTTCATGGGTATTTCGCCACTGCACTGCAAGAAAATAGAATACAGAACAACAAACAAAAAATGTAATATACCAAATACCATGTGAATGGGATAAATTTTACATTGGTGAAACATCTAGACCCTTAAATGTTAGAATTAAAGAACATAAAGATTATTTAAGAAAGGGAGATTTTCACAAATCTAAGATTTGTCAGTATTCATGGGACACAGGGCACAGAATAAATTTTAATAACGGCAAAATTATAATGAAAGGAGGCGCTAGCCTCTAAAAGAAAAACAAAAGAGGCTTTTTTAATTCAATCTAATACAAATAAATGTATTGCTCATGCATCTGTAGATGTTAGTAATGTATGGCAATCGCTTCTTTGATTTTAAAGAACATAACATAAATAAACATAACATACGTAAAAATTGAAAATAATCATACAGAAACTTTGGGGCTTTTTGGTTTTCCCTTATTAAGTAATTGTTATCAGGTAGTAATTGTTAATTTTGAAGTTTACTTGATATAATGTCATTTTAACAGAACGTCAACGGTTTCTTGTAGACGTATCTGTTTTAAAATTTTAAAAAAGTAAAGTGTTTTCGAATAGTTGAATTTAAATATTTTAAATAGTTTTTTTCTTTATTCTTTGTATTTTTTTTGCTTCCGACGACGGAAAGAGATAAACTTTCCGAAACGTTAAGCATTTTTTTCTTTGTTAGGCAAATTTGTATAACTGTAAACATAACTTCTGACAAGCAGTGTCCGTTTAGGTTTAACGCCCAGATGTGTTTACAAAAAATAACTATTTTATTTTATAGATTTTCTTGCAGTGCAGTGGCGAAACACCCATAAAGGATTTTTTTGGAGAGATGAATCCGCCACATAGATATAGACATTTTTTGAGATTAACTATTTTAGAACAAGCAAAATTTTTTATGAAGAATCCATTTTTCTCAAAATGTCAATAATAGAACAGTTTTTCCTCTTGTGAAGACAATCCGGGGACATACTGTAGAGCTATCATACAAAAAACTCTTTAGTTAATAGGTGTAAACACTATTTGCCTATAAAAGTTACTTTAAGTTGATACAAATCTTATCCAGAGCACTTTTCGTGCAAGATTTATTCGAGTTGATCATCCAGTGGCTAAACTCCTCTAAAAAATATATAGAGAAGAACCCCAAAGAGATCATAAGCTGTGATATCGGATACTCGTTTGTAATTCCCTTAATTTTCTTCAGTTCTTCCACCGAAACAAATAGTGTTCTCATCATGTGCAAAAAGCAAGTTGCAAACATCACTCCTCCACCAAATGATTGCGTCATTGCCACAGCACATGTCACTTGTTGGTGTCTTTTGGCATTGATGAATGTCTTCTTGTCGGTACTGCCTTCCTCCCATCGTCTTAGACAGGTGTCAAGTTTGACAGGCAGCATGCCGAAGAAGAATCGAAAGATTCCGAAGATTATAGCCACAAGGACTTTCGTGGATACCAGATCCATGATGGTTTTGATGTTAAAAAATGAGAATTAGTGGATTATTGAGATTGTTTCAAGCGTGTTTTCATTGTAGAGATGTTTTCTGAAAATGAATTCGAAACATAGATAAGTGAAAAGCATCCTGTTTTATATTTCATGTGATATTTTCCACAGTAAAATTTGAAAGAGCCATATGAAATAACACTGCGTGTATCTGCGAAACCATTAAAGATTTTGAAATACTTTAAATACAAAAAAAATGTTCATTTTTTAACTCTCCATCTAATAAAAATATAATATACAGGGTGTTCCATTTAAAAAAAAACAAAGATTTTTTTTTATATTTTAGAAACTTTGGCGTTTGAATTTTGAGTACCTTGTATGATTTAAGATTACGATATTCATAGCTAAAGTAGGTAAATATAGACCATCTAAAGTAAACACCTAATATAGTTTTGTCAGGATAGTTCTGGTAATTGTAATAATTTTTTTAAAAATGGTTGAAAAATATATATTTTTTATTTATTTATTAATATCTCTGAAATTATCGAAATATATTTACTCATATCTTAGAATTATGTAAAGTGATCTGAAAGGAAGCCAAAAATTCAATAATATACAGGGTGTTCCATTTGAAAAAAATATCGTGATCCACTCACACTTTTTGAGCCACCCTACAGAAGTTAAAATATTTTCCTGAAATGGTTATACTTTTTCCGGACCCTGTATACTATTTTTAAACATTTATATCAAATTTAAATATAACAATTAATAAGAAAGAACATACTTGATATATTTTTGAAGTCAGAAAGAATTGTGTTATCTAATACACTTCTAATATATAGGATGTTCCATTCAAAAATATATAGTTTATACCAATAACTGTGACATTATTTGACAGCGTATGACATTTTTGCTACTAAGTACGAAAACTTGATTAAAATCCTTATAATTTGCTGTTCTAATGAATGTTCTATATCCAAAAATAATCATATTGGTTAATATTATTACAATAATATTATGTATATATTAATTTTTAGATAAAAAGGGAGAAATTATACAATTTTGTTAAATCTCAATGAATTTATTAATAATAAACCACACTGTTTTTTTTTTCCAAAATGTATTTTCTCTATTTTATAGGATACTTTTAGGCCAAATGAAAATAATTAAGTATATTTTCAGAAAATCAAGTTTATTTTATGACCAAAATTTAGTAGAAAATCCTTCATCTCATTTCGGAAAAATAAATTAATGTGAAATAATATTTGTTTGTATAAAAAAAAATGTTTTTTCTCATTAATTAAATAAACATTTTCTAAATTAGTAATTAGTTAGAATGTAATTTATTTTAGAAGTACGCCGTAGGGAATGACAAAATAATTAAATAATTATAATAGCCTTAAAAAAATAATTTAATTAATAACTTACCATCAACTCCAAAAATAAACATAACTTCATTATTCGAACATTTCTTTTTTAGTATAAAACATAAAGTAACTGCCTTTTTAAGTCGTGTTTTCTAATAAAACTATGTTTTTCCATGGTTTTTTTTTGCTATTTTCCTCGCGTATTGCTCTAAAACTGGACGCATACTGGCCGGAAAAGCGTGGAAAATTGGAATTTTCTTTTAACTGCGCACGAACATGGAAAATCGCAAAACTACACTTCGCAACTTCTTTGTTCAGTGGTTTTTTGCACATTAATTTAAGGAAGAATTACCTCAAATAAAGTATTTCCTCAAAACTATTATGTACAAAAAAACCTTTTTAAAATCAAGCTTTATTAAGTTTTATTTCAGTTTTACTTAAAGGAAAATATGTAGTTATTTTTGCTGAATGTTATTTACCTATAGGATGGTCCATTAGAGAGAGGCAGTCCAATATGTTTTATATAAATATTGCATAATTTAAAAAAGTACACATCCTAAAATAATATTTTGTTGTATACAGATAGTCCCAAAAAGAGTAATAATGAAGCTGTAATGTAAGTTCTTTTTTAAATTGCAACCCCCATTTTTCTGTACAGATTTGGGTTTAGCATATAAGTATGCACATAGTACACTATTTTTATTTGAGGTAATTTTCAATTGAAGGATAGTAAAATATAAGGTAAAAAATCATGAGATGGCTTTGACAAAAATTTACCGTTGAAAGAACAACACTTTAAAATAAAATAAATGTTTGATTTTTAATTTTGCATCCAAAAAATAATAATATACAAAGTGATGCATTTAAAAAAGTGAGATAAAGGATTTTTAATATTCCAATGTTGTTTTCGATTACAAGCCATAGTTTAACCAATAGTTTCACAATCCAGTTTGTGTCCTGTGTCCCATGAATGCTCCCAAGTCATATATTTTCGAAAATCACCCTTATTTTTAAATAATGTTTGCATTCTTTACTTAGAACATTTAATTAATATAAATTATAGGGAGATCATAATGGTGGATCGGACTTCCCTTCACTGTAAAATATATCACACCCTATAAAAAAACTATTGTTAATTAATTATCATAATTAACCTTTATAAATTTAAAAACCACTAAAATAAAAATTATACGTCTTCTAGTTCATAAAGAAAAGTCTAAAAAAAGTCGCTGACTTCAAGAATCATTACAAAAGGGTTTTCTAAAAGTTCAGCAAGCTGCAGTACAAGTTTAAGGTCAAATTTCAAGTATAATTACCATTAGATAAAGTACCTTGATAAGCGTTCACTTTTAATGGGAATTTTTCCACATAAACTGTGTTTTTTTTTTCATTTTTTATTTCAGTTTTGTTAGGGTTATTATTAGATAATATAATTAAAAAAGAATTAACAAAAAATAACAATCAATTGCGTTTATTGTTTTAGAGACATTATAAGTATATTAATTTACTTTGTTGCTTGTTTTCTATAAGGATTATTTAATAATAAACATATAAATATATTTCAAAAGATAACATACTCCAATTTAAAAAAAAACTAAATAAAAAATACTAAAAAAAATGAGGATCACAAAATAGACACATACAATAATTAATAAATTAACAATAAAAAATATACTGTATAGAGTGATACCCTTATCTATTTTCAACCCCTAATCCATGCAATTTTATTGATTATCCAAATTATGTATCTATTTCCCTGGTTTTTTTATCGATTCAACAATCAACTCTTTACATCAATCCTTTCACTATTTTTCGTGCTCGTATACTTGTCAAGAGACGTTGACGTTTTTTATATTCTATATATAATTTTTTTTGAACCAGAAACAATAAAATATAAATAAATCAAAATGTTTGGAGGCGATATGGTACTACCAAAATGCCGCGGGAAACTCAGGAAGTTTCCCGTACCAGCAGATATAAATTTCCCAGCTATTCAGCCTGCCAGATATGCCCATGTAAGTAAAATTTAGTCATAATAAAGGGGCGTATTTTTTTTCTAATATAACAAAAAAAATCGACCAAAAACAGTGTAAAAAATTTTAAAAATTTCTACCAAATTTTCTGTAATGTTCAATCACTAAAATAATGATTTTAGATTGGAAGAGAGCCTAACACTGATCAGCATGTTCGAATGCATCACTACAAGCAACGCAAAGACTCCTTTGACAATCTGAAAGTGGAACGGGAAAAATCTAATGCTGCGAGCAATGCTTTCGCTATAAAATACGAGAAGCATGTTCAAATGAAGCGTCTGCAGCGAGCCATAAACGATAGGGTTAATGAAAAAATGAAAGCTTACGAGGAGACAGTAGAAGAAAGAAGGAAAAAGTAAGTTTTCATCTTTTTGTTTCTCTGTAATTTCTTTAGTTTCGACTATTATCTCTAACATTTTTACTTTTTTTTCTTCGTTTCTCTTCTTTTATTTTGGTTGTCTTCGTGCCATTGCTTCTCGTTTTTTTGGCCCTATCTTCTCTTTAGTTCGCTTTTTTCTTATGTTTTTTTTTGTTAGTCGAGTAAACACAGCTTAAAATTATCATGACTGTTTCTTCTCTTTAATTCTCTTATTTTTGCTGTCCTTTTCCTTGTTTGTTCTTTTTTTTATATTGAGTTTCTTATTTTTTGCTTCTTCTCCCGTTGTTACTTTTCTTTTTTTTAAATTTTTTTTTGTCCTTGATTATTTTCTTTATTTCTCTTTAGTTTTTCTTTAATAATTATAGCTTAGAATCATCATGACTGAGTTTCTTCTTACTTCTCTTTTGTTGTTTTATTTAAATTCTTCGCACGTTATTACTTCTCCTCTCTACATTTTTTCTTCAGTTCCTTTTTTTTTTGTTTCTCATTCTCTTATTGTTTTATTCTTAACCTTCTCTTCTGTTTGTTATTTTTATATGACGAGCAATTAATTCACATTTTTGTTTCTCAGATCTTTGTTCCCCTGCTTTTAAAAGTTGTTTTTGATTCCTTGTATATTTTTGCTTCTGTTTTAATCTGTTGCTTACACTTTAGAATCATCGTGACTATACAGGGTGAGTCTGATATAAGTGCAAATATTTTCGGGGCTGGTAGATCTCGTTAAAAGAAACATATTTTTTCTTTGCTCTTTTCAGATAAGTCCAAAATAACCGAGTTATTTTATTTTGCAAATTTTCAGAAAAAAAAATCATTTTTTGCTTAAATTTTGAGAAAAACCGGGTATTTTCTGGGTTTTCTTTCTTGTTAATTTAATCTATTAGCTATGTTGCGATATTATTAAGAAATTATGGTTTTTAACTAAAAATTAAAAAAATTCAAATTTTCAATTTTTTTTTCACCTCATAATCGTGTTTCTGGGGTCGAAATATACTAGCCCTAAAAATATTTGCACTTATTTAAGACCCTCACCCTGTATTATAATACATATAAACTAAACTAAATATATTAAGGTTACAAGACTTGCTGTGTAAAGAGGAAAGACAGTACTACTACGAGACTGTGGACAGTGCTCAGAAAGGCTCAGATCTGAAAATGGAGGAGAAGAAACAAAGAGCTGAGATGTTGAAAGCAAAAAGAGAAGCCGAGAGACTGGAGATTGTGCATCAGAAGAGGATAGAACAATATAGGTAACATTATTTCTTAAAAGAAAAAACCTTTTATATATAGTTAATATATTTTTTTAAATCTTGTTTGTTACTGTTAGACAACGTTGTCAAGAACTGAGACCACACTTGGCGAAGAAGAACTTGATGGAGTCGAAATATTCTCAGCTGCAGCAAATGAGGGAGAATGAAGCTAGAAGAGAATCTGACAGGGAGCTGGATCAGATGTGGCACGAGCTGACCATGAAAGAAATAGAAGCCAAGGTAAATTCTGTACAGATTTTTCAAAAAAAGTTTACATTTATACTTGTTTTTTTCTCTGTTTTGTCTATAGAAAGAGCGAGAAGTTCAAGAAATGCTCAAGAGACGAGAGAAAGAAACAGATTTGCTTCATGTTTGGGACAGTCAAGTTAAACAGAAAGAAATGAAGAGGATTGAAATGAACCAGGCGGCTGTTGAGGAAAGAATGGAAATGGAGAAAGTTAGTGAACAACTAAGAAGAGAAGAAATCGAAGGTATTTGTTCAATTGAACTCATGACTTATATTATTTTGTCTGAATTCGATTTTTTATGTTAGTACTGGATGCAAAACGTCGCAAAAGAGATGCAGCAGCAAAGAACTCCTGGAACAGATTGCATCGAGGAACAGCTGCACGCGCAAAGAAAAAAAGAAGAAGATGCTGTGGACCGATCGTTCAACACTTTAGCTCAGGTTTTTGAACATTTATATTATTACAGACTCGTTATTTCATTAAATTTACTTTTTCAGCTTGAACTGGAAAGGGAAAAGGCTGCCATCCAAGACACTACAGCCCAAGCCAAGAGAGAAACAGCTTTATACAGAAAGCACTTGAAACAACTGGAAGAAGAACGAAAACTCGAAGAGAAAAAGTTGATGGAATTGTTGGACATCCACAGGAAACAGGTTGAAGCCAAGCAGGCCGAAGCTAGGTGCAAAGTTGTCGAAGCGAAACGCAAACTTCAACAGGTATACCTATTAATTTTACTACCTACTGTCATTAAATTGTTATATTATTATTGTTTATTGGTAGTTACTTTTACTTTAGCAGAGATGTTTTTAAAGTGATCATATCTCAATATCTCATCTCAATATGACACTGTATATAGTCCTTGATACACTACAATTTTTCAAACAGTATAGGTATTCTATGTGCTCTTGAAACCTATGTTAACATAAAAAACTCTTTTATGGGTATAAGTTTTCTAATGTATTTTTTCTATGTCTATTGACAAGGACGTGTTGATGGAAAGAGCTGAGCAACTGAAGTACAAAAAACAAGAAGCTGAAGAGCAGCTGAAGCATAAGGAAGCTGAAAATGAGCTGTTAAAGATGGCGTACGAGACCAACGAAAGATTGCAAGCTGAAAGTGATAGATTAGAAAAAATGGCAACTATGCAATACAGAGCTGACTTGAACAGACAAATCGAATACAACAATGTATTAAGAGTAAGTACCTTACATGTTATTTATATTACCTATACCCTGGTATTACTTAATAAAGTTTATATAAAATACTATATAGTCTATTTCCATAAAATAATTCAATTATAGATTATTTTTTTGTTTTCTTTAATTTTTAGTTAAGAGAGAAAGAAGAACTGGAACGTCAGCTGGCTGAAGGACAAAGGGAAGAAGAAAAATACAGAAAAATAGTCCAGGATATCCTCATGGGAGAGATAGAGGCTGGTGTAAAGCATCCCTTCAGAAGGGCCATGGAACAAACCGATTGTTATTGCCCTAAAATTTAATATTCTGAATAAACGTTTCAGGGAAATAGTTAAAATATTTTTTTTTTCAGCACGAAATTTTAATTTTGCATTCAAATCTTTAGTGAAACATATAAAATGATATACTTTATACACTTGAATACTTGTAGAATGTGTATATTGACTTTTATAAGGTACTATTCATATATTAGGAACTTTTATTACTATATTAATTATTATAGAATTTAATTTTCTTTTTTCAAATATTTAAAAAAATTTCCTTCACCATTTTATCAAGAAAATAGTATTGCATTGTGATGTATATATCTGGTTGCCTAAGTATAATATTTTTAAAATTATTGTTAAAAAACAAACAATAACTTTGCTATACGAATTTCGAAAATAAAATAATTTAATTTGTGACTTTTCAACAGTATTTGGGCCAGTATATTTTAATAAAACGTAAGTTTGCTATAAAAAATTTATTATTATTCTATTGATACATCTATACGTGTTAAAAGTGTATATATTTTTACAATTTTCATAACTTTCATTTTCAAAATCGAGTATATGGAAATATAGATACATTCTTTAATGTTCTCTGTTGTACAATAAAAATAAAGTTGTTTAGAATATTGCTTTTACAATGCTTTAATTATAATTTTCTTTTTTTAGGAGCGTTACTAATAATACACACCGGCACATAAAGACCACCTAAAAGACCAGACACTGATCAGCTTTTATATAATTTTGATATTTCTCTTACAGCAGGACTAGCTACAGAATTTTGTTGAATTTCGCCTCAAATCTGGTCAAATCCTTGCTGTAAATTTGTTAAAGTCACCTCTGTATCTTCGACTAACTTATACCTTGCATATAGCAGTTTTGTTAGAGCATTCTAGACATTTTTGTAAGTATTATAAGAATCTGTACGTATATTGTCTACATAAATCAGTAAAACATTTTTCATCCCTTCACAGCATTCCTGTTGGCATTGTGATCCAGTATTTGCAATCATATCCTCGATACAACAAGTATTACATTTTACTTGATCTCTACTTTTATTACTATATTTATCTTACTTTTTCTTGTAAGAGACTTAACTATAAATTCAGCATTAGTTTATACAGGATATAATAAAACTAGTTTCAATACTTTTTCTTGAATCTCGAGTGTTCTTGTTATCAAACGGTTGGATTCTTTAGCTTGTAAACTAAAAAGATTTTCGTTATTTCGAATATTTAGACCGTAAATATCAGCGATTTTATCTAGATCACGTAATTTTAAACTGTTAGATTCCATTTTAAGGTCTAAAATCATATAATAAAATAATTAATTTAAAACTGCTTTTAATGTATTTTAATTATTTACTATTGCTATCCTTGTTTATTTTTGTTATTATCTTTGTCTAACAGGTAACCATAGATTATAATTTGATATCTCCTCTTTTAATTTTTTTTTCGGATACTGGCTGGTACATGTTTAGAACCATAAGTATTAAAAAGAAGAAGAACGTTACTTTGATTCTATGGCTACTGGTCTTTTAAGTCCTGAAATACGAAAAAGAAGAGTGACGCTGGTGGCGCCAATGTGGAAAAAGTGTGAAAATTTGGAACTAAAATGTTGTTGACATTTTCATATTTATGGAGAGATCTGCTCTAAATTGTCTAAATCTTGTTTTTGTAAGTATAAAACGAATTGAACTGTTACAAAATCGTGATAAACAAATAATACACACTTATTTTAGTTGAATCAATATTTTCTTTTAGGCGCAGTATTATTTATGCAGCAAAAAATGGTCATGACAGGACGCCATTGTTCGTTGTTGGAAGTTCTTTTACAATTTTTCTGATTTTTTGGTAGAAAAAGTGGTTCTTCAGTGCACTATTTGAGCTTATTCGGTTCCTTAAGGCCTGTTTAATCTCCTGTAAATGTAAGTACCCATAGTTTTGATCCTTTTTATAGTTTTTTCTCTTTCAAATATTTCAATTACATCATTGTTAAAAGCTTATACATTTTTCCAATTTTCATCATTTTCTTTTTCAAAATCGAGTATATGGAAATAGAGATACATTCCTTGATGCCTCTATTGTACAATAAATTTAAAGTTATTTAGAGTATTGCTTTATATTTAGAAACATTTGGTGTTTTTTTTTTGGTAGAGTTTAAAGATGTTTTGTATTCTTAAACGTAATATTTTTGGTGTTTATCTGTCCAGGCCTACCCTCCATAGTCCAAACAAGTATTTTCTACCTCTTTTAGAATAAGTCAGGGTACCTAAGTCAGTGTTAATATACCCTAAGGTGCCTCCCATTCTCCACAATTTTCTAATACTTCCAGATTAAAAAAATACAGTTTTTACGGTTTTATTATTGTACCCCGTAGTCATATTTGTTGGTTAAATTTATTTTATAATGTTTTAATTGTAATTTTCTTTTTTAGGAGTTTTATTTCTTTACACATCCAACATGTAAAGACCAGCTACGAGAAGAGACCTTGGTCACCCCTCATATAATCCTGACGTTTGTCCATCATTCTGTTTTACGAGATTGGTTTTACATTATCCAGTTAAAAAGTAAGTTTTTTTTATTATTTAGTAAAGCAATTTTTATAAATTTATTAAATGTTTCTTAACAGAGTAACTATATTTTCTATCACAACATAATATATTTAATATTATTTATTTCTTTGTTACAGATTTTGCACAACAAATCGATGGATGTATACAGTTCCAGGGCAGTAATTTCTAATTTCTAGTTTTATACAAGATATTTAAACGTTCTTTGAAAACGCTGTATGTGTATAAAATATACCGCAAGATCGAAAAAAACGGCGTCAGAGATAGCTTGGGAACTAAGATCACCGTCATTTTGTATGTCAATTTATATTGGGAATTTCAGCAATTGGTATTTCAGAGCTAACTGGACGCCGTTTTTTTTTTTTTGATCATACCATATTTATTTAAACGTTCTTTGTAAACGCTGTTTGTGTATAAAATATACCGTAAGATCGAAAAAAACGGTGTCAGAGATAGCTTGGGAATTAAGATCACCGTTATTTTATATGTAAATTTATATCGGGAATTTCAACAATTGTTATTTCAAAGCCAACGCGACGCCGTTTTTTTTTCGATCATACCATATATTTAAACGTTCTTTGAAAACGCTGTTTGTGTATAAAATATACCGTAAGATCGAAAAAAAACGGCGTAAGAGATAGCTTGGAAATTAAGATCACCGTCATTTTGTATGTAAATTTATATTGGAAATTTCAACAATAATTGGTATTTCAGAGCCAACTCGACGCCGTTTTTTTTTCAGTCATACCGTAATATTTTAAGTATATTTAGTCATTTTATTGTTAATATATCTTCTGTTTTGTATAAGCAAAAATAATATAAAATGTATTTTTAGGAGGAAGATAAATGTAATTTTTCCTCTTTTGAACTAAGTATTTTGCGTTTTTACATTTGTTTTATAATTTACATGTAAAAAAATACTCATATAGGATTTTTTGGATAAATTTACGTGTATTTTCCACCATAACGTAAAATCATGTAGAGAAAGCCCATCCCTGATCAAAACATTATATGATCAGGCATACTTTGTACCGTATGATCGAATAAAAACGGCGTCCAGTTTGCTTGGAAATGACGATCGTTGACATTCTTCATATAATTTTACCTATAAAATAATGACAGCCATCTTCATTTCATAGCCATCGCTGACGCCGTTTTTTTTTTCGATTATATTGTATAATGACACGACCTACTTATGATTTATACAATATGATTGAAAAAAAAACGGCGTCAGCGATAGCTAAGCGAAATGAAAGTCGCTGCCATTTTATATGAAATTATGCGGAGAATGTCATCGATCGTAATTTCCAAGCTAACCGGACGCCTTTTTTCGATCATATATATAAAGCCTGCTTGATCATAAAACTTAGATCTTTTATATTTTATATCAGTTTAGCAAACATTCATTCTTATTTAGATTTAGTTCTATCTTTGTCAAATATCTGTATACTAGTACTTTATTATGAATAAATAAAACTATTAAAATTAATTGTTGTTTTATTTCTGAATTTCAAAAAAAGATTTACCGAAAATATTTTACTTCTAGTGAAAATATAAAGTATATACTCCAAAAGATATAATTCATCTCCTTGCTCTTATATTCTCCTGATAGAAATCGGAAACTTCGTTGAAATCGAAAGTTTTGTTACAAATTCGAATATCTTTATTTGTATCAGGAGCACATAAGAGCGAAGAGGTGGTTTAGTTGTTGAAAAATTTATACGTGTATATACCCCTTCGCACTCATATGCTCCCGAAATAAATTCGAGACATCTCATTTTTAATAAAAGCTGTCAAAAATAATTCCAAATGGCAAAATTTGGAGTACCCGACCAACGAGCTCGAACGAGTTAGATTTTTTCGAAAAACGGCCATAACTTCTAAACTAAAAGAGCTATCGAGGAACGGAAGTCGGCATTCGATTCGCCTTTCAACCCTCTATAAGGGTGCAAAATTAGGGCGCGATCGGAAAAAAAAAAAAAAATTTCGGCAAAAATGAAGGAAGGTTAACCCCTTACCTCATTTTTCGCCAAAAAATTTTTTGGTCTCCGATCGCGCCCTCGTTTTGCGCCCTTATAGAGGGTTGAAATGCCTATCGAAAGCCGAGTTCCGTTCCTCTGTAACCCTTATAGTTTCCGAGATATTAAGGGTTGAAGTTTGGAAACGAGTTTGAAGTGCTAGAGATAGCAGAAATATCGTTGATCGATGCTTTATTTAAATGTGGTACTAAATTTAATTCTTACCTCTTCGCCCTCATGTGTTCCTGATAAAAATCGGCGATTTTTGACACGGTTTAAAAATTTTCGTGCGGTCTTTGACAAAAATTGAATTTTCTCGGATATGTATCAGGAGTACATAAAAGCGAAGAGGTAAATATCGGTACTTATTTTACTCCTTACCTCTTCACACTTATGTGTTCCTGATAGAAATCAGTAATTTTGGAGGAGGATTAAAAATCTTCATTCAATTTTTTTTAAAGGCTGAATTTTCTCGGTTGTATCAGGAGTACATAAGAGCGAAGCGGTAATCATATAGGTATTATTTTTATATAAAATACTGTCTAATTCCAGAAAAACTTTGTAAGTTCTTTAGTGAGTAGAATATATTTTTTTGTGATAATTAAATGACTTTTTCTTTTTGTTCAGGATTAGGCAGTATTTCTAATATGTATATTTTGGTTCAATAAAACTCATTTATTATTAAGTATTATTTATTTTACATATTATATTTTATTAACAAAGAGTAACTTAAAGAGTATATATCCGAGGTGTTGATGGACATGCTGATGAGGATAAATCTTCACTAAGCTTCTGGAAAGTCTAGGTTCTGTAAAAAAAATAAAGAAATAATTAATTATTGTTCACTAACAAGCTTGATTACTATTACCCTTGTATATGAATTTTTACTATTACTATAAATTTAAATAACCAGTGAATATTTTCAGGGAATATAGGCTACATAAAATATTATAAGAGAAATTTTGGTAATATAGGAAAAAAGCATAGGTAAGTTAGCTGTATCTATAATTACAGTATGATCGAAAAAAAAAACGGCGTCAGCGATGGCTATGAAATGAAGATCGCTGTCATTTTATATGTAAAATTATATGGGAAATGTCATCGATCGTCATTTCTAAGCCAACTTTTTTTATCACGGACGCCGTTTTTTTATCAAGCGGTATTTTAAACATCGTAAATCAAATACCATAAAGTAACTTATGTACAGGGTGTCCCACTAAGAATAGCTCTCGGCTGTATCTCGGAAAGTAGGGCAAATGGAAAAAAATATTGCTGGAAATTATTTTCAAGTTTGTAAAACGGCCGCTAGAGGGTGCAACTGCTATGGAAAATAAGAAAATAGAATTTTTGCAGAATTTTGCCTAGATAATGGGTACTATAAATAATAGCTTCATAATATTCAGTAAATTTTGGATTTTTTTTGTTAGAACCATTTCCCCCTATCTGCTAAAATAAAGTGGTGGGGGAAATTAATTTCCAGCAATTTCTCATAGCCCCTGTAGTTATAAATATTTTTTTCCATTTGCCCTACGGCTAATACTTTCCGAGAGCTATTCTTAGTGGGACACTCGGTACAGTGTGTTTGTACAATTTGTACATGCATAGTGTGTCCCAAAAAGGTTCCAAAATCGAATATTACATTATGCTTATATTGTACCAAAAAATAATGATCTACGATATTAATAATAATTATTATAGTTGGAGGTAGGAACCTTTGCTGTTCAGCACAACAAAACACTAATTCGCCACAATATACAAAAAAGTAAATTGTTTTGGTGTATTCTAGTGAATTAAGGCTTTAGTTTGATTTTTTAATTATACTAATTAAAAAGTGTTAAAAAATATAAATTAAAACATCCAACTCCTTATATAGGCAACTCTATATACACGTTAAGTACAAACTGCACAGCTGCTCAAAAATAAATTATTATTTATCTACAATAAAGTAAATTGTGCGCCAAAATATTTCATTTGAAATTAATCATTTATATCTACACATTTTATAAAATACAATAATATTAGGTATTTATTAAAAATATTTCATTAAAAAAAAATTAATTTACCTAAATTATTTACCTTCCTCTTCAATGATGAATTTCATTCTCAATCGACTGTTGAATATGTTGAATTTAATCATCCTAATGGCATCTCGAAGGGGGTGGTTGAATTGAAGTGAGAAAAAGAATCCTTGAAGTGAAAGAAAAAAAATCCTTGTTCCAAAGCTGTAAAAAATCCATTTTAAAGGGAATTAGAAACAGAATGAAATAAAAACTTATTAAAAAAATAAATCCAAAATTATACAACTCTATGTAGGCATCAATATAAATGAAATAAAGACTTAGAAGTCAGAAAAAAAATTAGAAAAGCTAGAAGTGATAATATATTGTGGATGAATCAGGATTTTTGATTAAATGGCGAATGCGCCGGGAATTGAGGGGAAATTAGTTATTATTGTGAGATTTTTACGTGTGTTATTGTGTTATTATATCATATTTAATAATTATAGCAATTCATAGCTTATGATCTAAAAAAAATGACATGAAAATGAATCCATCAAAACTTAAACTCTGTGTAAGAAATTCCAGAAGCAAAAAATATTAGAAGAATGATACCATAAGAAAAATAATACAAATAGAAGACTTATTAAAATACAGTTTACAATATTTTACAGAATCGATGAATGATGTTATAATGCCTATACAATGGAGTCAAGCTATTAGAAATATGAAATTTAACCATAAAATACTTGAAGTAAAATTCTAAGCAGATGGTAAAAAGAGAGGTGTCCAGAAGTCAAAAATTGGCCCAAAATATAAATAGATGGTCTGAATTTGTTTATGATATAAGGAACAATAAAAATATATTTACCCAAAAGAAATAAAATTTTAGATATACATACATGGAAGCCCTGATGCATTGTTCGTAATATATACATCAAAAGAATAAATGTACTGCACTGCAATTGTATTCATCCATTGATTTGTTATACAAAATCTGTAATAAATAAATAATATTACATTTTATTAATAGTTATGCTAGAACAATTGTGTTTATTTGGTTTGTTCCATATTAATACTAAATATACCTTAAAAATATACGGTTAGTGTGTTAGTAAACATTTAACAAATTTATTAAAATTGTTTTTAAATAAGAAAATAAACTTACTTTTAATTGAATAATGTAAAACCAATCTCGTAAATGAACGATGGACAAACATCAGGATTATATGAAGAGTGATCGAGGTCTCTTCTTTTAGGTGGTGTTTGTGCTAAGTGTGTATTGTTAATAACACTCCTAAAAAAGAAAATTATAATTACAGCATTATAATTAAAACACTACTTATTCCGATTTATTCTAAAAGTATTCGAAAGATGTAGAAAATACTTGTTTGCTTGGACATATAAACACCTAAAAAATACCAAATGATTCTAAATATAAAACAATATTCTAAATAATTTTAATGTTATTGTACAATAGACATCAATGAACGTATCTATATTCCCATACATTCGATTTTGACAAAGAAAATTATGAAAATTGGAAAAGTATACAAACTTTTAATGATGATGTAATCGAAATATTTGAAAGTGAAAAAAACTATAAAAATCATTAAAACGGTGGGTACTAACATTTGCAGGAGATTAAACAGGCCTTAAGGAACCAAATAAGCTCAAATAGTGCATAAAAGAACCACTTTTCTACCAAAAAATCAGAAAAATTGTAAAAGAACTTCCAACAACGAACAATGGCGTCCTGTCATGCCCATTTTTTGCTGCATAAATAATACTGAGCCTAAAAGAAAATATTGATTCAACTGAAATAAGTGTGTATTATATGTTTATCACGATTTTGTAAAGGTTAAATTCGTTTTATACTTACAAAAATAAGATTTAGATTAGATCTTTCCAAAAACATAAAAATCTTAACATTTTAGTTCAAAATTTTCACACTTTTTCTACAATGGCGCCACTAGCGTTCTTCTTCTTTTCAATACTTGTGGTCCTAAACATGTGCAACTACAGATTTCATATAAATTTCCTTCATTATTTTTATATGACTTGAACTCATAGGTCATTTGGCCGGTGTCCTGAAAAAAATAACTAGAAGAAGAGAGATCAAAGTATAATCTATGGGTAATGATTAGACAAAGACAAAAAATAAGTAAACAAGTACAGCAATAGAAATAAATTAATATTAATAAATAAAAAATAAAACACATTTAAAGACTTTAAAATGAATTCTAACACTTTAAAATTCCGTGATCTAGAGCGATATAAGATGATATTTACGCAATAAATCTTCAGGATAATAAAATCTTTTTGATTTACAAGCTAAAGAATCCAATCATTCGATAACAAGAACATTCAATATTCAAGAAAAAGTATTCAAACTAGTTTTATTATATCCTGTATATACTAATACTGATTTTCTAGTTAAGACCCTTACAAGTAAAAATAGAGAATTTAAAGTTTTCAAAAACAGACTGATTTATCATTACATCAAGTAAAATCTAATATTTGTTGTACCGAGGGTATGATTGGAAATACTTGAGCACAATGCCCTAAAATAGAATGCTGTAAAGCGATGAAAAATGGCTAATATGGTCTATAATACCATATATTAATATTTCTCGTTTCTAGACTGTTATAACATATAACAAATTTTTGGCCTGCATTGATTTGTATATGTTTATAATAGATTTAGCTGTTTTAAAACGTTTTAATATTAGCTAGCTTTTGAAGATAGAAAAAATAACTGAAATTTTGCAACTTCATTTAAAATATTTGGAAGAAATTGAATTTAATACTGAACAAGTTAAAGTCAAGCTGAATAAAGTGCAATATAGGAAGAATTTTTGTTCATATTTCTATAAGTTATAAGAAATAAAACCTCGAGAATAAGAAAATTATAGATAATAAGTTATTTGCATACTATAAATTCCTTTTAGCCTCCGTATACAAATACTATATTATGTTATTGATAAAATATAAATTTGATTTATAAAATATATTATTTCATTGGTACATCTACACCTTTTTCATATTTTTTTAACACAGCCTTAACTAAAATACATTTGGTCATGAAACACGAACAGAATTCAGGGTGTTCCACTTCATCCGGGTCCAGCATAGCTATTTCAATGATATACCTGCAAAATTAAATTATTTAATAGTTCACAGGCTACTCTGACCCTCCTTTTTTCTTCTAAACGTATTTTTGAGCCTTTAAAAATGGTTTTGGCAAAGATTATTATTACTATAAATTTTTAGGTAATTTAAATTATTATTTACAGGCAAAATAATAACACAAAATAAGTTTTTTACAGGCACCTTCGCCATTTTGTCAAGGAAATAACTTAGTTTACAATAAAATAAATAATTTTACCTTCTGCTATTACTTTCTGACCTTCTCATAACTAGATCATAACAAATCGGGCTTCCAGGCTCAACTTTTATAGATTCAGGCAGTACTATGAGCGTCTGTTTCCAATGGGTACCGGGTTCATCGGGTGCAGTGGAAAGTACCACCGGTTCATCAAACCCAGAGAAAGGAAATGTACAGGTAAACCATAAACAGACTCCTTGGTATAAGGCTGTCTTTGTAGAGACTGCTACGTGTTGGAAAGAAAATTCTTTAAGGTCTTCTATGGTCACTTCACGCAAATCTATCCAAGATACCACCTTAAATATAGTTAGAGTAGCTTTTTAAAAACAAAATAGTATACCTACATATATAGATTTTTTCGGTAACCTTTTTTAACAACACTATTTATAATTCTAACTGAAAAAATGTAGGACATGTACAGGGTGTCCCACTAAGAATAGCTCTCGGCTGTATTTCGGACAGTATTAGCTGTAGGGCCTGCGGGAAAAAATATTTATAACTAAAGGAACTAATTATGAGAAATTGCTGGAAAATATTTTCAAGTTTGTAAAATGGCCGCTAGAGGGTGCAACAGCTATGGAAAATAAGAAAATAGAATTATTACAGAATTTTGCCTAGATAATGGGGGCTATAAATAATAGTTTTATAATCTTAACAAAAAAAAATCCAAAATTTACTGAAGATTATAAAGCTATTATTTATAGTACCCATTATCTAGGCAAAATTCTGTAAAAATTCTATTTTCTTATTTTCCATAGCTGTTGCACCCTCTAGCGGCCGTTTTTAGTTATAAATATTTTTTTCCGTAGGCCCTACTTGGCTAATACTTTCCGAGATACAGCCGAGAGCTATTCTTAGTGGGACACTCTGTATTTTTAACTACCTGTGCTGGAATAAAAAAATAGTATTTTTTTGAAGGAAAATAATTTTTTTTAGAGGGTGTTAATCTTAACGACATGATAATATTTATTTTTTTGTAAGAATATGCCTAAGAATTACCCTCTTAGATATTAGCATGTAATTAAGGAACACCCTGTATATCAATTCAGAATAATTTAACAAAAAAATATATTACTGTAGTATAACTTCTATGATGTAAAATAAAATTAAAATTGTTTAAAACCAGTAATATAAAATAAAATAAATACAAATGTTTTTAAAAAAGCACCTTCACCATTTTGTCCTCAAAATACTCCTTACTTACCTCGGGCTCTGATAGTAGATCATTTGGTGACAGGCTTTCTGTCAAAGGTTTTTTAAGAGCTTCATTCCTCAAAAGCTTGGCAAATGATTGCATAGAAACTCCACTTATATCATTCCAATCATTATACATCGATGGAATGCTGTTAAAAAAAAATTATATTAATATGTATTTAAAAAATAAATAACTTTAATAGATTTTAGCAAGTCAAACTTATTTAGATTCTTTCTTGAACTAAACAGATACAATTTTAGAGTGTCCTACCTACAGGGTGATGCATATATAGCGGCAGACTCAGGAAAAATTAAACCGTCGCTTTTTAAAAATCTATCTCTTGCTGTTATAACTGAATCTAACATTCCTTCGTGAAGGAGGTAGAATCCCATCCATTCTGATACAATAACGTCAACTTTTTCTGGTATTTCTGAGTCAGTGAGATCTTCTATCCTACTGTGAATAACCTAGATGAACTTATGCAAGAAATTCAATAAAAAAATATAGTTACCTACTTCTATAACGTTTTCAAAACCATTTTCCTTAACAATTTCTTTGGCTATTTTATAAGTTTCGCTGGCTTCAACTGCATAAACTTTCCTGGCACCTGCTTGAGCACACAGTATTGATAATATTCCGGTACCTGCACCAACATCTAGTACTACTTTATTTAAAATATTGTTTTTATTGTTCAGAATAGCTTTTTGATATGCATTGTTCCTTGTACTGTCTTTTAACATTAATTTGTGAATCTAAAATAATTGTTAGAAAATAATGTTTTTTTTAAAGAACTTATACAAAATACAACAAAAAAATATTTTTAACAGTTCCAATTTTATTTTTTAATAACTTAAATCGGCTGGTTATTTTTCATGTAAACCTCGTATTCATGTGCAAAGATAAAATAATCTGATCTTTGTTCAGTTACGTGGACATTAGGCGATGTTGTCAAATATCAAAAAAGATTGAGTTTTCAAGAATTGTTTAAAAAAATATGAAAAAATTTAGAAGAGTATTTTTTGCCATCTCCTACAGTTTTCTTACAGAGTTATCTGCATATTTTTGGCCCTAAACTTATTTTATACAGAGAAAACAAGAAAAAAATCAGTAATCTCATTACATCTGCACATTAAGTTGATAAGAATAAAGACAATATAGCTTGTCAACATTTTAACACCCTGTATATTTAAAGATTTTTTGGGGCATATGGTCTGTGATTTATCAACTGTAATAAACATATCATCATTAGAAGAAAACATATTTAACAATATTGACAACACTGTTTCACACATAACTGTTTATCTTTATTTTTATCTGTTGGTTTAACTCAACTCCAGGACATGCTAATTTACATATATTTAGAATGGCTAAAGCAAAGGTTTTTATTTACGAAAAACCATTCGATGGTTTTCCCAAGGAAGATGACCTAAAATTAGTTGAAGAAGATTTAAAACCATTAAAAAATGGAGGTACCTTAACAAAACAAAGTATTTAACTTAATTTCTAACGCCGATTTATACTTTAATTAAACAGAATTCCTTACTGAGGCTGTTTTTCTTAGTGTCGATCCTTACATGCGAGGCTATGCCCCATTTTTAAAGACAGGAACTGTATTTTTGGGAGGACAGATAGCTTTGTAAGGTTTAAAAACAGTAAATAGATTCTTTAAAAATATCATAAACTGTTTCAGAATAGTAGAGAGCAAAAATCCAAATTTTCCTGCAGGAAAATACTGTTTTGGTCAATATGGGTGGAGATCACACACTATATCAAATGGTATACCTGATCCTAACAATATACTACATGAATATGTTCTACCAGATTTCAAAGGACTGTCTCCTTCTCTAGGGCTAGGAATTTTAGGCATGCCTGGGTAAAATAATATTTTTTTTCGTAAAAAATAAGTTTACAGCAAAAATACTTATAGCAACACCGCATACTTTGGACTATTAGAGATATGCCACCCAAAACCAGGTGAAACTGTTGTCATATCAGGTGCTGGAGGAGCTGTAGGGAATCACGTAGGGCAAATAGCTAAATTAAAAGGCTGTAAAGTGATTGGTATTGCTGGGTCTGATGAGAAAGGTTCATGGCTTACGAATGAAATGAACTTTGATCATTTTATAAACTACAAAACACAAAACGTTAGAAAAACACTGAAAGAAATAGCCCCAAAAGGTGTTGATTGCTATTTTGATAATGTAGGGGGTGAAATCAGCTCGACTATAGTCAACCAAATGAGTCTTTTTGGTAGAATATCTGTTTGTGGTGCTATATCAGCTTATAATGATAAACACCCTAAAGGTTTGAGTATATTCAATAAAAGTAACGTTAACTAAAAGAAATATACTGTATTTCTCTTGTAGCTAGTGCTCTTCAAGCTGCTATGGCTATTAAACAGCTCAAAATGGAGGGGTTTATCGTAACTAGATGGGCAGATAAATGGTTTGAAGGTATCGATCAAAATCTCCAGTGGATACAGGAAGGGAAAATAAAATATAGAGAGACTGTAACTGAAGGGTTCGAAAATATGTTTAGAGCTTTTACGGATATGCTTAAAGGGGTAAATTATGGTAAAGCAATTGTAAGGGCTAAATCGATTGTTAAATAAAATGCGGTAATAAAATGAAATAGGTTGTTTCCCTTACCTCCAAATCTTCGTAATTTTCGAAATAGGTGCTGTTTATATTATCAATATCCATAGTTTTTATAAAATTTTATTCTTTTCAAATTCAAATCGTATATTCATACATCAACCTAATTCTAAAACGTCAAAACTAAACCAAAGATCAAAATTAAAACTAGTTATTATGTTCTGTGGTCTTCTTCTTTTTGTTTTATGATGGCTCTGTCTGCTACATCGATGTTCTATGGTCAGACCAATTTACAACAGACGTCAACAGATTTTCTAACCTAACTTTATTAAAAGTCGACAACTCTTTAAAATAATTAAAATAAAATATCTAAAAATGATGAAACAAAGGCAAATGTAAGTAAATAGCTTGTATTTTTTAGTATTTATAGTTAAGCTACGTTTTTTCAGTAAGAAATCCTACAAACGTTACGAAAAGGGCAGTGATAGTAGTGGTGAGGAAACCGAACTTTTTGTTAAAAATAAATCACCCAGAAAAGAAATACCCACCGTAGAGAAGAACATTGAGGCAACTGATACTTTACAGTCCCTAGCAATACAATATCATTGTACAGTAAGAACAGTATATCATAAAGAAGATAATAAAGTATGTATTTAATGTTTCCTTTGTCTTAGATCGAAGAGTTGAAAAGATTAAACCAAATACACAAAGAAAACGAGATATTCGCTCGAAGAACAATTAAAGTACCTCACAGACCCTTTTCAGAAGCCCTGGCTGCTGTGCATTCTAGTGGTACAATGTCTCCTTCAGAATTAAACGAACCCCATACAAGTAAATTGATAGATATAGACAGTTTGGAAACAAAATTAAAATCGGCTCAACAAAAGGATACTGAAGTGAATGAAATTATCTTTAACAGTAGTATAACTCAAAAACAAAGTGATACAGTTGATGAAAGTGTGTTAGATTCTGAGGAAGATGTTTATTTATTGCCTCAAAGTGAACAAGAAACTCAAGAAACAGACTCAATCATTAATAGATTAAGTTGTAATGGATCTGACGGAGATATATCCCTTCCTGCCCTAATAGTTTGTATTTTTATAGTTATATTTGCAGTTCCTTTAATATATGTTTTGTATATTGCCGAGAATACTGACACAAATCAAAATCATACTGACCTAAATGGCAAATGATATTTTCGGATTATTTAGTGAGAAGTTTTAAACATTTCCGTAAAATTTTAAGAATTTTTTATTGCAGCTTTGTTTAGAATATTTATTTTATTTAATTTTAAATCTTGTGAGACGAGTGTGATATACATATATTTTTAAAAAATAAGGTTGACTAATATTTATTTTAAGGATCAATTGTCTTTAAAGATATTGTTGTAAAGTATGAGATTAATATATTATATACAGGGTGGCCCAGTGTTATGAAAAAACTGTCTATTGTGTTTTTTTTTGGTACAGGGATGGGAGTTTAAGCTTTTCTTATTTTTTTTTCCGTTTTTGAAGTAAAATACACATAAAAAACGTAATAGAAAGAAGAACTGTAACCTTCCTCACATATTTAGATACTCTGTTTGTAGTTGGATCCAAGTTATCCCTGCTAATTTCCTAATATGGTCCCATCTAAGGTCTGGTCTTCTTCTAGGTCTCTTAATTCCTCCTGGATACCATCCTGTAATTTTTGTGGTCCCTCCTTGCCAGGTGTCCTCTCCATTGCCACTTGAGGATTTGATTCTGTGGATGACATCTATTTCCTGGATGTTTTGGTGTATCCACTCTATTCTTTTAAGGTCCTTCTTGGTTGTTAGAGCGTTGTGGGACCTGCAGTTTCATTATATTGTCCGTTTTAAATGTCCAGGTTTGCTATGCATAGGTTATGACTGGTAGTACACATTGGTCGAACGTTTCCTTCTTTAAAAACAACACATATAAAGAACAAAACTTCTACTAATTTTCTACGCGTAAAAAACGTTTTCTAGACGTAAAAAACATTTTTTATCAGCCCATCCTTGAATTTGGGACACTGGTTTATCCCGTATATACAGTGATTGTATAGTAAAAACAAACAACTAATTTTAAGAGAATTTTAACTGTTATATATTTTAAAAAAAATATTTGTAGCAAAGGTTTTTTGTATATATTTTAATTAAAATTGTATAATGTTATAAAATACTTAGGGATTAAAAAAATATAAGCAGTATATTGTTGAGTCAAATTTCTTTATTTTAAGACAAAGTTTATACATTTCCTTATACTTTATTCACGGTGTGTGTGTGTTTATGTATGTAAACTTAAATCTAAGTTACAGAAAAAAATATTTGGTAAAGAACAAAATGAATTAGAATAATCCCCAGAAACGCTTGAAAAAAAAAATAATTTGTACTTGAACAAAAAAATTCGCGTTTCTCAAGACTACAGGCTAAATTAAAATTAAAATAAATGAACAATTTTATTGGTTTGTTTGTTTTTTTTTTGAAAAAAACTGATATGATATTATTTTAAAATTGTTAGTACTTTACACATTGCTGGTTAAAATAAAAATAAAAAATGTGTTTGGAAGATACTCAGTCGCAAAAATTAAACAAATATATCTAATATACAGGGTGACGCAAATTTAAAAAAAAACGGTGTCATGGTAGCCTTTAAAAATGTAATCAATGATAATTTCTAACTGGACGACTCCTATGCCATTTATAAATATTAATGCACGTTTCAAAGGCTACTGTGATGGTTTTCTTAGACTGAACGATATTTTTTATTATGTTATTACATATATTTCGTCACCCAATGTGTGTTTATAACAAAAAAATAAAATAAAAACTAATAATTAAACTGATATTTTAACTGATTTAAACAGTTATGATCGGTACCTAAAATAATATTCTCCCATTAGAAGGTACAGAGTGTCCAAAAAAACTGTACCATTCGAAGAACTGTATATTTTAGATAACATAGTTCTTATAACTAGTCTTAAATTTTTATATGAAAAATTTAAATGCACAAAAAACCATATATGTGGGCAAAAAATATCTAAATCTATTAATTTTCTTTCTGTTTCACAATTTAATTATAACATATTATAGTTATGTTTTTTTTTCCTAAAAAAATATAGAAAAAATAATTTAGTTGTTAGTATTTTGAAAATATATAACATTTTCTTTGGGATTTTTTATTTGTACTTTAAGCAAAAGTCAAAAGAAAATTAATATATTTAATAAGCTCAAATTGTATTTTTTTTCTCAAAAAGTTAACTAAAATTAAACTTAGAAATAATGCCCCCTTTTTTAAACTCAAAAAGATTTTGGAATGTTGCGGGAAAATCTTATATTTTTAATTTAGATATACATTCATATAATATATATAAAAATACGTAATTATTATTATATTATGGCCCCCATTATTGTGATCGTTTACAATTTATTTTGCTTCAAATGTACGATCCACAATTTCCAATGGTTGGACATATAAATGCTTAATGCTAAACTCAAACTATCCTAAATTAAAACTTTTTCACTCCAAGCCCATCCCTAATAGTTGTTTCTTTCTGCATTTTGATGGACGCTAAAACAGAAAAAAATATATTTATAATAACTAATTTTTTTATAAAATAACTCTAACAAAAAAAAGTTAAAAAATTATTGATTTCTTACCTAAATTTCTTTTGTTAAATTTCATCAGTAAATTCTCTTAAATACTAGAATACAAAAGAAAGAAATATTTTATATATGATTTTCACAGCAAAAAAAGTGATTTTGAAAGTCTTTAAATTTGATCATATTAACAATATAATACATAAGAAGAAAAATGTTATACATTATACATTAAAGATGTTATATGTTTCAAAAGCACAATAATATATACAGGTGAAGTCAAATACAAATATATTTATGTACAGGCTGGGTCAAATTCGACGCTTTTAAATGGAAACACCCTTTTCTATAGGGGATAGACAAAAACTAATATCGGTGTCTGGAGTTCAATTTTTGTCAAAAACATGATGGTGAAAACCGCATATCGATATCTGTTAGCGTTTCGGAGTTACGGGGTGTTTTTCAAAAATATGCATTTTTAACAAATCGCTTAACTTTTTTGTTATTGAAAATTCTGTATTTTTATGAAAACATTTCCAAAGAACCTTTTTACGTAGAATTTAATGGTTTAAGTATATTTTTTTTAAAATTAATAATTTAAGAATTATCAACAGAAAATTTGATTTTTTATATGGGACACCCTGTATATTTTTAATTTATTGAAAAAAAATTAAAAATCCAAAAATATAACACACTTGATATTTTGCTCGGTTCCTCTTCGAGATATAGAGTATATAAAAATTCGCCCGCTTTAAATAAGTAGGCTTTGAACTGCACTGGCTGAAATGCAAAAAAATTCTAGCTGTGAGCATCAATTAAAACGAAAATAATATTTGCTATGAGAGATGCAGAAAATTATATCAATTTAAAATATATTTAACCAACATCAACACATATAAACTATATCTAATAACAATAAAAATAAATAGCAAACCAAGTCATGAGATTTTGCTACAGGTGTTCGACATATCGACCGTCTTCTGTTATGGACAGACGGGGCAGTTTTTGAACATTTCTCGCGGAATTCATTAACTCAGTAGGGGTGAAAGATACCCTCTTATAACTGCTAAGTATTTCTAATTCTTATTTCTTGTCTAGATTATACGGAAGAATAAGGAACCTTTATTCTTCCGCAAATATATCCGTAGCATTAGATCCATGGTCACTAAGTCAGGCGGCCTCGACGGCCAACGGCTGGGATCTTGATTAGCTATTCAATTATTCTTGAAATTGGCTGCAAAAATTTGCTGATAACTTCAGCGTTCAGAGGCGGTGCGTCGTCTTATTGGAAAAATATGTTTTCGAGTTCCATTAAGGGCATATCATCAATAAGGGGTCCAAAGCCTACTAGTTAAAAATGGCGAACTTTTAAAAATTCTGTATTTCGAAGGGGATTATAACAAAATATCAAGTGTGCTATATTTTTGGAAAGGTAATTTTAAATTATTTTTAGTTAATTAAAAATATAGAGGGTGTCCCAAATAAAAAATCAATTTTTCTGTTAATAACTCTTAAATTATTAATTTTAAAAAAATTATACTTAAACCATTAAATTCGATGTAAAAAGGTGCTTTGGAAATGTTTTCATAGAAATACAAAATTTTTCATAGTAAAAAAGTTACAGCGATTTGTTAAAAATGCACATTTTTGAAAAACACCCCGTAACTCCGAAACGGTAACAGATATTGATGTGCGGTTTTCACCATCATGTTTTTGATGAAAATTGAGCTACTGACACCCATATTAGTTTTCGTCTATCTCCTATAGAAAAGGGTGTTTACACTTAAAAGCGTCGAATTTGACTCACCCTGTACATTACAAACAGCATAAAATATTATTTTCCTTCCATTTTTTGTTAAAATTTAATTTAAAAATTTTTTTGACCTTAGACCATGCAATAACTAGAGTGGATTTTTAATCAGGGTCTTGAAGCTAACATAAATCATGCCATTTTTAAATCAATTCTTTAAAGACTATTCATGGTAAAATACCTTTTTTGTTAGTTCAGTTTGATTTTGAGGCCTGCTGTATTATAGATTATTTATCGATTTTATGCAAGGTGTATTAATCTGGAAATAGAGTCTTTAAATGAATTCAATGAAGTTTTGTTAATAAATGTCTTCAATCTTGCGGTCCAGATGTGCCATGCTCTAACTTCTTTATTAAAATGAATTGAAATCTTTTTTTTTTCATAGAAAAAAGAAAGTTAAAGAGTCTATTACGCTGTTAATTCCAAACACACATGCTTTGATTAAGGTTTGCAGAGCTTCAGCACTTGCCATAAAATAGTGAGCAATTTGTTACAAAACCATATAAATTATATACCACTGCAATCACAAAACTTCAATCTATTTTCGTATTGCAACGGAATTTTAAATTATGTCTCTATTTTCGAGAAAATTTAGTCCAAACATAAGGAATATTTTGATTATGTTTGACCACCAAAATCTTAAAAATAAAGAAGTTGTCTAAAAATGTGCTACAATAATTAATTTCCTTCTTCATTTATGTAAAAATGCCGAACGTTTATTTTGCTATTTTTTTGGACTAGTATTTGTTAATACTAGTGTTGTAAATGGAAATATTTCCATGGAAATGGAAATATTGGAAATTTCCAAACGTGTCTCGGAAATATTGGGAATATTGGAAATATTTTTAAAAATACTTAAATCTTGTCATTAACGATTCAAACCCGATGTTTATTAATATATCTTTCATATTTTGTAACCCTATAAACATTAAACTCACTATACAACAGTTTTACAAACATATAATATGGTGAATATATCGAGTTTGAGGATTCACCAACTTATTTGCAACCTCGCATTTCTCCGGGGAAGTCCCGAGCTCGTAAGTCGTAGCGCAGTAAAAACTCGCTGGTCTTCAATTTTGACCAATTTAAAAAGTGTATACAATACTAGGCTCAGTTTACAAGGAGTTGCAGTTAGTCAAGAAGCAACACAAATGATTGATAAAAATGTTAAGCAGTGGATATTAGATGACGAAGTATTTTGGGCACAAATGTCCAACATAATTAACATTTTTGAACCTATTGGCAAATGGTTAAAAATTGTAGAAAGAGATTACAGCACTATTCATTTTGCTGTAAAAGCATTTTGTGATATTAGAAGGGTAATTCAGAATAATCTTGCATTGTCCTCACTGGACGACAAAGAAAAATCCGAATTGTTGGAGTTTGTTGACAAAAGAGAAAAATTTGCTATTTCATTAAGCTGCAGAATTACTAAATCCAAAATCACAAGGTTCTAAACTTGATGAAACCCAAATTCTTTCTGCCATAGAATGCATACTTAATATATCAAAAAATAAACTCAATATAAAGGAGCAAGAAATAATAGAAGTTGTAGAAGTGGCAAGTTATTTGGAAATTACTTCATATGGAAAAGTAGCTTTGATAACCCAGTCTCCTGGTGGAAAGGACTGTGTTCTTCATCTTCATTATCACAAGTAGCTTCACGAATTTTGATGAAACGCAGTTTTAGCGTATATAGTCATATTCATTCAAAAAAGAGGAACAGGCTTATTAATGATAGAGCTTCTAAGCTACCTATGTATCCCTCAATGAAAACTTGCTGAAGAAAATAGAAAACGGCAATAGATCAATTTTTATTTCCGATACTATTGAAGATTTTGAGGAAGTAGACTGGCAAGAAGATGTTATTGAGTGTGATGCTGATGACAGCGATGAAGATATGCCTCTTGCTCGACTAGTGTGCCAAAAATAATTTCTTTTTGTACAAATATAACTTTAATTTATTTTTTAATTTGAAGAATAACTCTTTGCGATGTTTTGTTATGATTTTTATAAATAAATATTTCAGTTTTTCTTATTTTTTAAAATATTTCATATATTTCCACTAGTTAATACACATCTTTAAACTATTGGGGTCTAGTTGTATCATGGTCTAAGATCCGTATTATTTAAAAAAAATTTCATAAAAAAATACAGTTTAATGCAAAAAAGAGTGGCAAGCAGTCGATCTTTCGTGAAGACAAAGAAGACTACCGTGGGATGAATAGTGATTCCTTGTTTTTCAAAAGCATAACAACAAAATCACTAGTCTTCCACATAGTAAGTCTTCCGCAATGTTAGTAGTAGCAGGCCCACGAGGTTACCATAGTCCAGAAAACACACAAACACATCCCCAAAGAAAGTTAGTAGCAGGGTGAAGCTCTTCTTTGATGAAGTTCGATCCCATTGTTCTTCGTGTGTGAAGTTAATAGATTAAAAAGCAGAGATAAAAGAATAAGTGGACTAACCTGTATGTTTTCTAATTTTTTAAACTATTTTATACAACACTGTATCTCCGAAACTAAGAATTTTAGGACATTCATTTATACGAACTTTTTTACTTACTTTTATCTGAGCCGAAGTTTTCGGAATACAGTTCGGACCACCCTGTATATTGATTTTTATACATCGACGAGTCCATTTATTCTTTCGGAAAGTCAGGTAAAATTCCAAGCATCCAAGTTTTTTTTCACTTTTTTCTTTATAAGAAAAAATACAGGGTCTCTCAAAAATAAGTGCACTGAGAAGTGCACCATTTGACTTTTTTGTCAAAAAATTGTTGCAAAATTTTAAATTATTGGTTGATTCCTTGGCGCGCACTAGTGAACTTTTGTGTGCAAGTAACAATGGTTTAAATAAATGCAAAATATATCTTGGATATTTGGAGCTTAACTGTACACAAAAAACATTTCTTTTTATAGAAAAGTATTAAAGATAATAAAGAAAAAAGAGAATAAATATGTTTGGTTACCTTTGCTGTAGTAGATATTGAGCCATTTGGATTTCGTTTGCTGTTCCGCTGATGGTGATGATGCGATCGTTCGATCCAGGCAACGGCTCGTCTATGGTGATGCCTGCTCCGGAATCCTGGCGAATTTTCCTGATTCTACCACCTCCTTTTCCTATTATTGCTCCGGCAAGCTAAAAGAAACATTTTTTCTGTCATCGTAACAAAACAAAAATCGTAACTCCAAAATTACAGTAGCTAGCGAAACGCGGTTTTCAAATTAAGATTAGTAATAATATTTGCAATAAAATTTGTAATAACACGAAAACCAGTCAAAGTCGCAGTTTTCGAGATATCCGGCGCCAATTTTTTCTCTTTATCTTTAGAAGAACGGAATTTAAGTCGGCCATTTTTGGTCCCCATCGCGTTCGACCTAAGTTTTTTTTGATATGTTCCTTCCTTATTCTTTTTATTCAAAGAACTCAACAAATACTTAAAATACTTACATCTTTGGGTATGGTGACCTGAGTCTGAGTCTTCCCACCTGATCCAGGCGATCCAGACAACCCTATAGGTCCAGGGGGACTCACCATCGGTGTCTGGTTGAAACTAGGGGGAGGCTGTGTAAATGGAGACCCTGTCCAACCGTTCGACGTGTTAGACCTGTTGTTGAAGTTGTTCCCTCCAGAATTAAAATTGTTTGAAGGTCGATTGTTGGGTCTGTCGCCCATGTTGGACCTGTTCCCGAAAGATCCGCCTCCCCTATTCGGTGACGGTCCGTTATTGTGAATCTTCCCCTATTTCCTGGTCCTTGCGAGTCGTCTCTCATACCGCCGCCTCCCCTGGGACCTCCCTGGCCCATGCCACGTGGGCCTCCGTCTCTGGGACCACCAGTTCTGGGTCCGTCCCTGTAATAGTAATAATTTGTATACACGGTTGAAAAAAATGTGATTTTTGTCGTTTAAAACGGTTTTTATTGTTTTAAACACGATTTTATCTTGAAGGCCAGGTTTATACAGGTATTCCGGAAACTTCGACAACATATTCTGCAGATAAAAATAAATAAAAAAGTTCGTATAAATGTATGTCCTAAAATGCGTAGTTTCGGAGATACAGGGTGTAGAAGTTTCATTTTTATTTCGATTCTTTCCAAATAATTTCTGAAATAACGCCAAAATTAATCAAATTTTTCTGCAAAAAAATGACGATAAAATCGTTTCTGTTGAACTTTTGGCACAAAAACATTTCAAATTTATGGTCTCAGTCTAATATCTATTTAGTCAATATGTTTAATTTATGTGATTTTTACCGAGAGACGATTTTTACGTAAAAAACGTTGTAAATGTATATTTTTTAATCAGTAGTTTTATATGTTAATTTATGTCAATGATGACAGGTATTGATAATTTCAATTCCAAATATCTCGAGAACTATTACTACAGGTAAAAAAACGTCGTAAATGTATATTTTTTACTCAGCAGTTTTATACAGGTACGGACGGAAAGTTATTACTCTTCAAACCAGTTAAAAATATGTAGGTGGCGCCCTGTACAAGTAGGAGTCATATTGACACCAAAATCAAATTTATCATGTCAAAAAACTCCCAGGTACCAATTTTCATCCAAATATTGACGTTACTTCAGAAATTATTTGGAAAAAATCGAAATAAAATGAAACTTCTACACCCTGTATCTCCAAAACTAAGCATTTTAGGACATTTATTTATTGGAACTTTTTACTTATTTTTATCTGCAGAATATGCTGTCAAAGTTTCCGGAATACAGTTCGGACCACCCTGTATTTTAAACTATAGTTTTATATAGCGCCTCAGGGGATATTTTGACAGACGATGACAGTAAAATAGCAGATAACGACCATATCAATACTTTTTTTTCCACTAAAAAAGGTACTATTTTTTTAAGTTAAGTAAGGATGGGTTTATATATAGGGTGAGTCTTAAATAAGTGCAAATATTTTAGGAATACTATATTTCGACCCCAGAAAATTTAATTTTTAGTTAAAAACATATATGTTGATAATCTGGCAACACAGGCAGTAAATTAAATTTACAAGAAAGAAAACCCAGAATAGATCGAGTGGTTCTTAAAATTTAAAGAAAAATAATTTTTTTAATTTCCAAAGCAAAATACTCGGTTATTTTGATGGACAAAGTAATAATGTAGATATAAAAACTTTTTATATATATATTATGTCTAAAAAATTCATTTTACCTGGGTCCACCTCCACCTCCTCTAGGTCCTCCCTGGTTACTCCCTCCTCTCTGATTGGGCCTCTGGAAATTGGAACTTCCATTTCTATCCCCACCCCTGCCATTGTCTCTTTGCTGACCTCCCCATCCGCCATATTCGTCAGCATAGAACTCATCGAAATTGTGGGGGTCGTACGGGCTGGACGCACCTTTAACTGGACTCTGAAATAGCGAGCATTTTTCTTAGAACATTAAAGATTTTTAAAAGAAAAAAAAATACATTAATAGACTCTGAAAGAATCTTTAATAGCTAATTTAATACTCTATTCTTTTTTTGTGTATACACATAAATAAATATACAGGGTTTTACTTTCAGCCCCTTACAATAGAATTAGCATTTCGTTTTTGATATAATTAATCCTTTTTTTACAACCAATAAGTATTACATACTTAAATTCAACTTAAAAAATATATTTATATTCATATCCATGAAAGAAACTATCTGTATATTTTATGTAGTTACCTATTAATGAAAGCAACACCAAGACCGACTCTAAAAGACTGAGCGCTCTGTTCGCATTAGATGTAAACAGTTGTTCACATACAACCATTTAATTTTGGTTATATTTTTAAATGTTCTATAATTTAGAAATATCTGTTATTACCTGTGGTAAAAATATTATACTTAGATAATTAGAACTTAGTGACAAGAACTTAATACGCAAGAGAAAGAAACTAAAAATTATCCTAAAGCTTCTAGATAAGATGGATAATATATTTGAGATGGATTTAGCAAATGGATAAAAAAAATAGAATAATTTAATCTATAATAAGTTTTAGAGCCTCAGGATGCTGTTCTATTTTATTTGACAGAAGAAGTCTTGGTGATCTCTTACTATATCCGAGAAAATTAGTAGAAGGTGCGTGACATTCTTGATAAAAGTTGTTTACTGAATGTTGATGCATCATAGGCACATTGACACATCTTTGTAGTTTATATTAACAATAATTATTATTCAAAAGTAATGATATTTCTAATAATATTAAATTTAACGTCATATATAAGCACAAAACGAATAAAAATTTAAGCTTAACTGGGAAAAGCTAGTTAAAATTACACATGAGCTGAATCACCCTAAACCAATAATAAATTAATTATGTTAATGCTTTCTTTCAAAATTATTTTTTTATTGGTTAAAATACATTAACCTATATCGTTTTCATTATTTTCATTTTAATATGGTAATAAAATTACACACAAATGGATGACAGAACCATAAAAAGTATTATACCAAAATTAGCAAGTAACAACAGATGATTCTTCGTTTGCCGAGGTCAAACATACGTTAAAGGCATACATAGACGTTTACATCTCTCAGTAGGTCAAAAAAGCTGAATTTATTACAAGGTAATCAATAACCATCTTCGAAACAATTAACAAAATAAATAAATCTGAGTTTTATGAATGTATTTATGAGAAATTTTAAATGTCATTAATATGAAGGATGATTACATTGTTAAATCACAATGTATGAACATACAATGTTTCCCCCATTAATTTTTTCTCAATATTATAAAAACTAAAAAAACATACAGTGCGAACAGAAATGGGTGAATCACCAAAAACTGAATTACATAGTTAAAAACCGATATAAAACTACAAAACACCCTTTAAATCATAGACAGACATTTCAGAAATAAGTACTTACTGCTTTGATCAATGTGAGCACTTCACGAAGAGTATCAATGCATTTTGCAGGTTCTCCAATGATCTGGATGACGCGATCAGTGCTCTGTGGTGCGACATTGGAGAAAATCTTGATTTTGGTACCCAATTTCTGTAACAAAAACAAATATTAATTTAAAAAACAACTTAAATGAAACCTTCTTAAATTTTATGCGAGAAAAAACAGGTTTTTTATTAAAAAAATTACGTTTTTAATAACTAGAATCTTTTAAAATAATCATTAGAAATGGAAAACTCCTGTTTTATTAATTTTGAAGCATTGCTAAGTAAGAATCCGAGTAATTTTCGGTGTTTTAAATAGACTGAGAGGACCCAGAGATTAGAATCTGGACCTCATTTGCATAATGGCGTCTGAAATGAGGATTCCCTCTGGATTTACCGGGATTGACGTTGGATTTTCGCGTTTGCAGATATCTTTGGGGAATACCTACAGGTAGCCATTTTTCTCTTATTTTTATAAAAACAAAATCGTGTGACGTACTTCATCAAGTTCTTACAAAAATTGTGACATATTTCAAAAACCACTAGGGTCTCTGAATAAAAAAAAACTAAGAAAAAGGCCGAAATATTTTTTTTTATATTTTGTATTATTTAAAAAAACTTTTTTGCGTGTTTTGTTTCACTTTTTTCTCGATAATTTTGAATTCTTTCGAGTTTTATCAGTTTATTTTATATTACTTCTCGTTTATTGCATAATTGCTTTTATGAAAAGTGTATAAATCTGGAGAAACGTTATGTCTTTTTCCAAATATGCTAACGAGCCACATGTTCTATTTGAAAAAATTGAGATATGATTAAAAATACGATTTGGGCATCTTTTAACCGCCAGGACAAGACACGAAAAACATTAGACGATTAAATCTATTTTCCAAGGCTCTTTGATTACAAATTAGTGTTTTTAACATGGCATTCTAGAATGAATTTTAAAATACAATTTTTTAAGCGAAAATGTCAACAGTTGACATATGATATGTCATTCTCTTCAGAGCGTCTTCAGAATATACCGAGGATGGCATTTTAAAATCAAAAGCTGTGTTTCAGGTGAAACAGGAAATGACCAAAAACAATTGAATACGTCAATCAGTCCTAATTTATGTCATATACTAAAACACCAAATCTCGTTTATTTATCTGAAAAAATAAAAAACATTATAGAGGTGAACCACTTTTGAGACGCACTCGGTATAGTTCTTTGTGCATATAAAGAAGATTTTATTTGTAAATTCTCAAAGCATAGTATAGTTTGATAATAATAATTATTAATTATCTCCAAACAATTTAGTAAAATTACATCACTTTGTGAAACTATGCAAAAATATTTGATTTATTAAAAGTCCCTTAATAAGATGCTGTAAAATATCCATAATATTATTTTTTTGTAAATTTAACAGGTAAGACTGACAGACAAAGCGTTACGTGTAGACTTCGCTTTAAAGCTATAAATAAAGATAGTCTACTGGGCCATTCGTATAGTCCAGCTCATACACTGTCACAATTCCTCATTCTAGCGCGTGTAAATCTTGAAAATGCAATTCGCCAGCGTGGAAATGGACATTTTGCAATTTCGCAGATCGTTTACTAGAGAAATTTATGACAGAAAGAGAGTGAGTCTTGGTCGCGTTGGACGTTTTAAAAAATTGATTTTTTAAACAACGAAAGACGGTTTTTTTAATATATTTAATAAAATGAGAAATGATTAAAAAAACCAATGAAAAAAATTGGCGCCGGAAAGCACGTATAGCCGCCCATACTAAAATACATATGTTAATAAAAATTTGGTAGGCAGTTCTTTTAGTTTCAAAGTAAAGGATTTTTTCAATTTTTTTTTGATCTCAAAAACTGCGACTTTGACTGATTTTGATGTTATTACAAATTTTGTTGCAAATATTATTCCTAATCTTAAATTAAAAATTAAATTTTAAGAACAATATATTTGTTAACAAGATATTACTTATTTTATTTTAAATAAATGTAAAGACAATATGCACAGAGATAATGGTCTAATCCCTTACAGTTATCTGTACATATAGCTCTAGTCTCGGTAATTTATTGTTAATATCCGTTTAATAACAACCAAGTGCCTAACAAAAAAAAGTAACTATTTTATTTAGGACATTTTTTGAAGAGATGAATCCGTCAGAGCTATAGACATTTTTAATACCCTTATAGTTCCTTTGATACATAAACAAATATTAAATGGATTATTATTATTAGGTTTTTTTATTAAAATAACAGTCTTCTAATACCGAAAAACAACATTTCAAACCATTCCAAAGTCAAATCCATATGCATTTCACATAAATCAATCTCACAATCCAGATTATCAATCATTTTACAACTCCCAACCTTTCAAACACCTGCATAACTTAAAAACACCATTTCCACTGTCAATAAACACTATTCTCTACACTAAAACACACGAAATACACCAGAAAACCGATGAAAAACAACCCGGGATGCGGGAAAACATCCCTTAACAAAGGCCAAAGACCGACTGGGGTATATGAACCAGATAGAGGGTGGTTTGTAGGGGGTTGCGTTACACGGTGACGTGCAAAATCGAGGTGGTGGGGGTAGGATAGACTACGTGGCAAACAGGGGGGAATGGGGGGAGATACATAGGGTTATAGAAGCAGGCCAATGTGTCTGTTTTGCGAATAAAAAATTGCACAGGTGTCTTTCAAATGAATGCCATAATATTTGGCATTTTTGAAATTAATCGAAAATAGTCTTGTATATACAGGGTGTAAGAGAATAGTGTATCAAACTTCAGTGGATGATTCTACAGGTAAACATAAAAGAAAGAGTTCCTATAGAATGTTCAGCCATCGTTCAACATGACGTCATATATTGTCGCGGACGATAGGTCCTCGACAAAGATAGATAAGAGTAGAAGTATCGCGTGTGCAACAAAAAAAGAAGATAAATGGAAGTCGTTGATATGTTTGCGACAGTTTCACATAGTGATTTACTTATCCACGTAAGTATACAGGGTGTTTCAAAAAACATGTGCCATCTCTCGTGGGGAGATTCCTCACGTAAAAAAATGACTTATTTTTCATATCAACATAGGTCCGATTCTGCTTTGTTTCGTAGCTACAGGGTATTAAAGTCTTAATATTTTTTCATTAAGCTTTTTGACGTCCAAAAAACACGAGACGATGTATTTTATAATAAAAGTTACATTCTAAACTAAACGGTTTACCCTGTATAATCCCTACAGTGAGCAAAACAAAAATTCCCCCGTATATAATGCGGAAATAACGGATCTTTTAATACCACGAAGACGTGACAGCAAGCATGTATGGGTGTGATGGATTACATAATAATTATCTGACTGTATATACGTGGTTTTCCTATTTCTGCCACTGTGTATGTTACAGTCTGAGCGCTCCGACCTGTTCAACTATACGGAAAATGATTTAGCAAATTGGAAAACTTTATTTCAGGGAAAACTCGGTTTTCAGAGGAGTAAAATACACGCGTTGGGGAAAATTAATTATTAAAATATTGCTTTCCTCTAACTGTGAAAAATGAGTGAAAACGTCTATCTAATATAATATTTTGTACGTTTAAATTTACAGTTGAGGGTTGGAACCTTTGGTGTTAAACGGCAAAATAAAAACACTAAATCACCACAATACACCAAAACACTTTTACTTTTACACTGGCAGTGTAAAAGTAAAAGTGTTTTGGTTTGGTATTGTGGTGATTTAGTGTTTTTATTTTGCCGTTTAAATTTATATGTAATTATATTAATTAAAACCAGAAAAATGTTTTGGTGTTGTTTTCAGTGTAATGCTAAAAACACTGAAGTATTCAACGCCTTATTTTAGAATTGTATAATCCAAATCTAATATAAATAAATGTATTTCTCAGGTATCTATAGAGGTGAGAAATGTTTTAAATTAATCTTTTTATTCGAAGAGACTTATATATACAGGGTGGCGCCTCTCATACGCCGCGGAAGCTCTAAGGAGAACGGTAGTTTATATCGAAGTGAAATGTTGGCAGCATATGTAGGTTAACTGAAAGCATTTTATAAAAATATATAGAATTAGACAGGGTGTCCCCAAAAAAAGGTACACATCAAAGTTGTGTTTTTTCTAATGGAACACCCTATATATTAATTGATTTTCGGATTTTAGGAAAAAAATAAAGGTGAGTTTTATTAAAGAAGCATATACCAAAAATCCTAAGGATTTTGACATATTTATCTAAATTTTAGTCGATCTTGTATAGAATGATATTTAATTACAGTAACCATTGTATGTTAAACCAAATTGAAAATTGACCCGAAAAGTTATACAGGGTGAGACAAAATTAATATGGAACATTAGTCACCTTTAAAAGCAAGTTACTCCTTTATTTTAAATGGAACACCCAGTATATTTTTCCGGTGTTCAATGGAGAATTTATATATCTTCAAAATATTATTAAGGTTGCCTACCCCTCAGACAAAGATTTTCCCAGATATTTTAGTTTTTATGATTTTGCGTCAGTAAATCTTTATTATTTGAAAAAACCTAGGTGGCTGTGTGATATACCTTTTGTTAATTTAACAAAAATTAAAGTAGCGTAGAGTAAAATACTCAAGGGTAATAAAAAGATACACGTTTAAAACATATTTTAATTATTACAGAATTAAAACTAGATGTAAACTGATAATATGCGACAAAAATTAGCTAGATGAAATCAAATGCTCAAAATGCTTCCTTTCTTGTTAACTGCATTAAAACTGTCTAACATTTTCCCGGAATCAACAAAACCAAAAAACCTACAAAAAATTCCTTCAGGGAGACAGACGACTGCCAAAAAAAAGGGCCAAAAACAAAAAGACGGAAAAATGTTTAAGAAGTCAGTTGTTTTACAGACGTTATACATCAAATTGTAATATATCAAGTTTTTCCCGCGCACACACACACTCTCACAGTCGGAAAATTCACAAAAGAAACGGAGGAAAAGCGCCAAGAAAAGACTGGCAGGTTTTCCAGGTCTCCAGGGAAACGTTTATAAGGTTATAACGGCGTAGGAGGATGGGAAAATGTGGAAAATATGTTCGGGATCGCTTTCCTACACAGATACCGGCGAATCAATAATAATAATAACTCGTCGGAAAATTGATAAAAATATGGAGAATTTTTGAATTCGGAAAAATATAAAACTCTTGTTAGTAAATACCGGGTGGCTCTCTAATAAGTAAAAAAAAAATAACTTACCTCTCTGATTTCCTTGATTTTGTTTCCACCTTTTCCAATGATGCACCCTGCCAGACTCTGATGAACCATCATTCTCATGTCAATTTCGGCTCCATTGCCAACTTTGGCCCCATTCTATAAATTAGAAACATTTATTTTTGTAATAATAAAAAATGATTGTAATCAGGGTTGGGTAAAACGACGCGTAGAAAATTAATTTTCTACGTGTATGTAGAAAAGTGTAGAATATTAAGTAAAAAATGTATAAAATCTAAGAACAGGTAAAAAAAGAGATATAGAGATATCGTTATTAGTTTATTTCTTGTACTAATCATAGTGAATGAAGTATTCGAAATAAATATAAACTGGAAAAAAGGCTTACAATATACAAAACTAATTTTCTACGTCTGGACATGTAAAAAATGTAGAAAATTAGTTTGGGTAGAAAATTAATTTTCTACGTGTAGAAAATATAAAATTTTCTACCTACCCAACCCTGATCACAAATGATATTGACGAATGAAGTATTCGAAATAAATATAAACTGGAAAAAAGGCTTACAATATACAAAACTAATTTTCTACGTCTGGACATGTAAAAAATGTAGAAAATTAGTTTGGGTAGAAAATATAAAATTTTCTACCTACCCAACCCTGATCACAAATGATATTGACGAATGAAGTATTCGAAATAAATATAAACTGGAAAAAAGGCTTACAATATACAAAACTAATTTTCTACGTCTGGACATGTAAAAAATGTAGAAAATTAGTTTGGGTAGAAAATTAATTTTCTACGTGTAGAAAATATAAAATTTTCTACCTACCCAACCCTGATCACAAATGATATTGACAACATGCTTTATAAATTTTAAATTAAAACACACACAACGCAACACTTTTGTTGTATAGTTTTAACTTATTTTGATCAAAATACGCAGGAGTTCTATGTCCACAGAATACTGGGCCACTGTATAGTTACGTAATTAAACTAAAATAAATTATGTACCTAATAGCCTTAGAACTTAAAGTGCTATTCAGAACTTATATCGACTCTCAAGATCATTATGCAAATTGGTATGAAACTTCGCTTGAACATGAGAGGGGGAGGGAATTTTGATTTCCAATACACATCAGATTACGAAGCGAGTAGCGACTATTGTTATATGTTTATTGGAGTAGAATACACATAATATGGAGAAATCTAATACTCCCAGTTATAATATATTGGAGGGTTTCTATCGAGTTCGGCCAGATTATAAATCTCCCTCTTCCAGAATCAATAATAAATAAATTTTAGACGGTTTCTTGAAAAATATATTTGTTATTTTGAGAAAAATTGATTGGTATTTATATGTCTTTAAAAAACAAGCTTAAGAAAAGAAAAATGTATAAAGCTTCACTTATATCCTCAAAATGAGTAGAACAAATTAGTGGTAGACATTTTCAATTAGTAGAAAAAGTTAAAAAACTAAAATAACACAATTTAAACACATAGACTGGGACAACGAAATAAAACAAATAAATCGGCCATTTAGAGCCACCTGGTGGTGCGGAAGAAACTAATGGAGAGTTTTGGCATGACATAATTTTAGCGTTCCGTTACTTATTAACGCTAACTAAAACGGCAACGTTATTCAAACGCAAAATTGTTCCTTGTAAAATATAAAATAACAAATATAGACTTTCTTACTACATTTTATGTTTTATTAGATCATTAGAAGTGTACCACAGTCAAAACAAAAATAAAATTATGAATGCATACATTTTAAACACAACAAGAGAGCACATACTGAGTAATAATCATCAATTGTGCCCAAGCACGGTAAACTAACAGGACTGCTCATCCTCATAAGACGTACGTTCGCCTCTTCACGCGCTTCAGCTGACAGTTGTGACGTCATTGTAGTCCTTGTCATGATAGTGTGTATTATTAGTTGCCTATGGTAAACTTATAAAAATAACAGCTGAGAAATTTTGTCAATTTTAAATGTGAAAAAGGTGTTTTTAAAGTTTTTAGAACTATAGAGTGTATAAATACGTTCATTTTGTGTTGTGGATCGTGACAAAGTGCTTACTAAGTGCCTACGATATTGTTTATTAATTATTTTAAAGCAAAATATGGAAGTAATCTAAAAAGAGCGCCTGCAAAAGGTGATGCTGTTCTTAAAAATGCATTATCCGAGTATTTAATACGATTTATACAGTTAATTTTCTATACTGCATACATATAAGGTGTTTAAATAAATAAACTAAATAATGAACGTTTTGCATCCGGCAACCAATAATGCACGTGTGTGTATTATTGGTTGCGATAAGGACTAATAACCATGACAAGGACTACAATGACGTCACAAAGCGAGGAGTTTTCGCATGCACCTGGCAGACACTTTTGGCTGAATGAGCAGTCCCTATTAGGTTAACTGTTCTTGAGTTGTGCCCATAATAACTAAAATTTGATGTTAAATAAATTATTGGATTGTTTTGATTACCGAATTTAAAGCGGTCTATGCTAAAAAGTTAAAACAATGCATTTTTTATCTTTTTTTATGGAAATACGTATGGATTATAACGGGTGAGTCTCAAAAGTGACTCACTCCTATAACTTTTTTATTTTTTCAGATAAAAAAACGAGATTTGGTATGTTAGTATATGACATAAATAAGGATCGATTGACGTGTTCAATTGTTTTTAGTCACTTTCTGTTTCACCGGAAATTACTACAACTTTTGATTTTTAAATGACACCAATGGTATATTTTTACTTTATTCGATACACACTGACACTCTGAATAGAATGACATGTTATATGTCAATTTTTAACTTTTAAATCCGAAAAAATAAAAAAGTTATATAGACGTGAGCTACTTTTGAGACGCACCCGGTATATTATATTTTTGGACAGCTCATAACAAGACAAGTGTAACAAAATAATAATATACAGGGTATCCCATTTAAAAAAAAACAAATATAAGTTTAGGTCATATTTCAAGAATTACCTCTAGAAAACCTCGAGAAACACGGTAAAACACGCGAAAATGGGACACCCTGTATTAAAATCGCTAACTTACCTCCTCTAAATTGGGTATGACGTCGCTTATGATATTGCAAACGCTATCCATGTCTGAGGAAAGGTTCAACAGCCTGCAAAAATATATCGATCAAACAAAGAATAAATAAAACCAAGAAAAAAACAGCAGACTGGATCCAAGCTTTACTAAAGCCTTGTTCACATTTTACAGTTTCTTCATAATTTTTAAGAAAATTTTAAACAAATTGAACAAGGCTTTACTACAACCGAAAAAAAAATATCTGGGATATTTTTTATTATTTTTTTTAAATAGTTAGGCAGTTATTATACGGGTTAATATACAGGGCTCTAGCACAGTGGGGTCGGTTAAATTTTAGGACTGTTTTCCCTTATTTTGTGTGCTGAACAGGGAGTGAGTTATACAGGGTGAAAAAATAAAATTTGGGACAGTGACACAAAAAATCGTGACTCTGGGATACTTTTTGGGATGTTTTTTTTTGACAAACTTGATATTTTTTCTTTGATATACATCTCAGGGTATAAAATACATAATTTTCTTCAAAAATACCTGTGATATAAAGGAATTCCTCAAGCTGGGTGGGGTCTGTTCTTCAACACTGCATCCGCTGGCGGTGTCTCATTATTTTATTTTTTAATTTAAACAGTTCAATCAATGAGACAATGTGAGTTGAGTCATAAGGAAATACCTTTTATAGGTAATGATTTGCAAGTAAAATTAAATGATGCGAAATATTCAAATTCTGGGAATAATATGGGCACTAAAGATTTTATACGATCAAAATGAAGTACCTATAAAGTTTATAATATAATATATTACCTATTAAACTAAGGTTTTAATATATATTTCGGGAAAACAAAGATTACATCATGGTCATAATATCTTAATGATTTATTACATTAGTAATATGATTTAATTCATTATTTTTCAGGATGAAGGGAAATATATCCTCTGAAACGTTCGAGATTTTTGATAGTTGATAGTAAATTTGTGTTCAAAACAAAGAGTCACTAAGAAATTTGTATCCACTGATTCATAAATCAGGAACTTGTGATATAAATAGTATTTTGACTTTTAAAAAAGGGTTTTGGTAGGAATATTCCTGGAATTATTATTTTAATAATTAGATCATTAAAAAAATAAGAATCATAATTAATATAAAAAACATGAAAAACAATAGTTATTTTTTATACAAGACGACAAAATGGTATTAATTTCGGGAGACGATAATGCAATTTGATCGTCGTGTATAAAACAATATTTTTTTCCATAGCGAACTACGTTTTAAAAAATATTCAGAAATTATTTATTATTCAGGCTATGTAATTTGACAAATAAATAAAGCTGTCTCTTTAGTTGTCAGTTTTGAGTCAATATTTTTTAATTCTCTTTCGTGTCGATTGCTGATTGAATTGGAGTTAGAAATGGCTCAAAACAAAATAAGTAAATTACCAACAGATATTCAAGCTGAAGCGACAAACCCCGTATCCAAACTACTTCCATTTAAATCCCGAATAACTTATGAAAAGGAATACAAAAATTTTCAAAAATGGAAAGCAATTAAAAAACGTGCGAGAAGAAATAAAGTTTTTAACCTATCCTCTATTTTAACAGTTGCTATGAAAAAAAAATGTATAATTTTGAGAACTGATTAAAATTTTATTATCCCCAGTAAAGAAATACAGGAAAAACTGAACGCTGCATTATTAAATTCGTTTCCACCAAAAGATATTTAATTCCTTTTTTATCTCTTCTTAAATATATCAAAAAATAACTTTTTTCTGGCTTTTCGGCCTTTTGAGAATCAAAATGCCATCTCAAAATTGGAAGTGGAAACACGAAGTGGGCGCAGAGCAAAATCCAGAGAAAAATAACGAAAAAAGACGAAAAGATCAAAACCAAACTGTTATATATCTCCTCATATAGATTCTTTTATCAAAAACGCTTCGTTAATTTGGAACGTAAAGCCGTTTTTTATGTTTGGTAAGTCCGTAAAGAAAGAAAAAGTCCACATGCTTAAGGAAAAAGAAGATTGAATGAAAAATACAGGGTCGCAAAAAGTTAAATATAAAAGTTATAGGGTTCATAAATATCTATTAGCGGATAATAAATTTAAATATACAGGGTCGGTCATAAAGTCGTGGCACATCAAATATATGATATTTTCAAAAGTCAATAACTCGGAAAGAGTCGGTTTGAAGTACATCGTGTGTATTTCGAATTTTGTTTAGAATTGAACGAAGAATTAAAATATGTAATAATATACAGGGGGTTCTATTTAAAAAAAAATAAAACTCTGATGTGCCACGACTTTATGAACGACCCCGTATACTTAAATTTATTACTCGCTAATAGATACTTAAAAATCCTATAACTTTTGTATTGAACTTTTTGCGTTACCTCCTATATTTTACCTAATAATCGACCGTTTCCATACATAAAAGCGACCCTGTATATTTAATTGAACTTTTTTAAGAGACATATCTGGTTGTATTTTGTTCTTGTAATTCATTAGGACAATTGTCGTTGTAGCTTGGGGAATATTGCATCTTCCTTTTGTGCTCACCTAAAGCTATATCCATTTTATTTTAAAAAATTTCAGTCATTTCAAAAATTTTCAAAAAAAAAAACAGGACAATTTTTGACTGTTATGTATGAATGTTATAAATGTTGACTGACCAGTATGAACAGACCTTTAGTGGATACAAAGAGTTGAAATTCACTATTAACTGTTAAATTACCTTAATTATAGTTTTTTTATTCATTTCAACTTGGCTGAAACTGGTAGAAATACGAGAAAATAAAGCAAGAATTTTATATAATAACAAGAAACAAGAACAACTAGCGTGAATGCATATTGATGTAGAAATAAATAGTACGGCACAAATAGCAACAATTATAACATGGTTCGATTAAGTAATATTAAGGTCAACGCATATTATTTTATTTATTTATTTCTAGGTTTCTGAATAATTCAAGAGTAACAACGTTCCAATTAGTATTATTAAAAAAATAAAGATAATAAACCAAAATTCCCTGGCCTAAGTAACTATTTGGCTATTTATTTCTTTAAACCATATCTATGTTTAAAAGTAAATATATTTGCATATTACTTAAAAACAGTTAATTTTGGTTCTGTATCACTCAAACTCACTTTTTTCAACACAAATTTGCCTATTTTTAAATTTGTTAATTAAAATTATTTTAAATAAAAATTAAAAAAAAAATGATCGTAATAAAAAACATCTATAGGCCCTTCATTTAGGTAAACATTTCGCAAAACAGCAAACAATTTTTTTCCTAATATTCGTCGGGTAAAATTAAGCTCAAAAACAAGGGGGTGTGGGGGTAAATTTAAAGGCAAAAGGGGTAGGGGGTGGTGCTATATAGTTCTGCGATCTGTAAGATTATTTTTATCTTCTTTCTCATTTTTTTTAATGCAGAACAGGGTTAAAAAGAGACAGGCAGCTCAAGGGGGGGGGAGTGTCTAAAAATAGGGGGTATGGTAGGGGGTGTTACTGCAATGCCTTCTGAGTTCTGGTTGCACAAATAATTATAATTACTTACAGAAATTTTAAAAGTTTTACAACAATTTGTTTATTTTCAGAATTATAGCTTATCTTTTATCTATTTGAAGAAGATACAGGGTGAATCTCTAAATAAGTCTAAATATTTACAGGGTACTTCGAAAATTAAAGAATGTTTTTTTTTTATTTTGAGAACCACTGAACTTTCTTGAATTTGGAAAAAAATTGCAAAGAAAAATCTCATAGTTTCTAGGAGCCGAAATATACCATGCCTAAATCCTTATACATTTAACAATCACCCTGTATAGTGAACGTAGCTTAGAATTTAAAAAAAACGCGTCATAGTGGCTTTTTATATTATATTATATGTTCTAAACATGCCCCTACATTTATTACCTCTATAAAAATAAATAAATAAAAAAAACACCTGTTAATTTTTGAATTCTGTGTCAAGTTTATTTACGCAACGCACGTTTCGTAAAAGCCAATTTACGCATTACGGCCATTATAAATAACCATAAACATGGTAAATAAAATCTAGAGCTTGACATTGATAAGCCTTTTAAGGATTAAGCAATACTACACTTGTTTTTTCTAGCGAATAAATTAAAAATGACACCAATAAAATAAATACTAGCACCGTCGTATCACAGGTACGGGGTGCTTTTATTATAATTTTTTTCTAAGTACTTATAGCGATTCAAGTGCATTTTTTATGGTAGAAGTTCACTCAAAATTTCAATCGAATCACTAGAAGCACTTTTAAGAAAATTATGATAAATCGAAAAAATCATGAAAACTTTAACCTCCTGTAGCTAGGAAACAAAGCAGAATCGGACTTATGTTGATACGTGAGGAATTTTCCCACGCGAGATGACACATGTTTTTTGAAATACCCTGTATAAAAAATAAATAAACTAAACAAAAACACTTTGACAAATGTCAATGAAAAATATTATTTTAAAATAACAAGCCTTTGCAACTTTGCCTTTAACGATCACGATCTTTGACATATATTTTTCTTTTCAGTATTTTCTCTTTATTAGTACGTCTTCAAAGGCACATAGGGGGTTGAAAAACTAAGACAACGAAGAGGAGGGGGTGAAACATGTTTCCCCGTGTCCTATCAGGCAGAAACAAGAAAGCATCCTAATTGCTTCATCATTTTTATGCTCGATGGATTGGAAATAGTATATATCTCAGTTAACATTATATTTATTGTATTCCCTTCTGTTCTATTTGATTTTCTTTGTTCATTTAATGATGTTAGGGATGTTTTTTTCAATATATCTGTAACATTACTGATACTGCTTTAATTATAGAACCAAGAACGTTTTTTATCATTAGTTTGTTTTTATAAAATTTTGATGCAAGTAAAAATTTTGTTGGGAGAGGAAGCTCATTAATCTCATTTACTGCGAATTTTCTGTCACAAATAATGTATACTAAAAATATCGATATCGATATTTTTTCAAACATCCACATCCTTACTAAATTATAGAATTTTCTTAGAGGAAACCCGTTAATCCTCTTTGCTACGAATTTTATGGCAAAAATATTGTATATTAAAAATATCGATATCGATATTTTCTTCGAACATCCACATTCCGACTAAATTATACAATTTTGGTGGGGAAAATCGTTAATCTCCTTTGCTACAAATTTTCTGCCAAAAATAATGGATAATAAAAATATCGATATCGATATTTTCTTCAAAGATCGACATCCCTACTAAATTATGCAATTTTGTTGGAAAACCGTCTAACGAATTTTGTGGCAAAAATATTGGATAATAAAAATATCGATATCGATATTTTCTTCAAACATCTCAATCCCTACTAAATGTATGAAATTTTGTTGGGAAAATTGTTAATCACCTTTGCTACGAATTTTCTGGCAAAAATAATGGATATAAAAAATATCGATATCCATATTTTTTTCAAAGATCCACATCCCTACTGAATGTATGTAATTTTGTTGGGGAAATCCCTTTTGCTACAAATTTTCTGCCAAAAATAATGGATATTAAAAATATCGATATCGATATTTTCTTCAAACATCTCAATCCCTACTAAATGTATGAAATTTTGTTGGGAAAATTGTTAATCACCTTTGCTACGAATTTTCTGGCAAAAATAATGGATATAAAAAATATCGATATCGATATTTTTTTCAAAGATCCACATCCCTAATAAATGTATGCAATTTTGTTGAGGAAATCCCTTTTGCTACAAATTTTCTGGCAAAAATAATGGATAATAAAAATATCGATATCGATATTTTTTTCAAAGATCCACATCCCTGCTAAATTATGCAATTTTGTTGGGGGAAAACCGTCTAACGAATTTTGTGGCAAAAATATTGGATAATAAAAATATCGATATCGATATTTTCTTCAAACATCCCCATCCCTACAAAATGTATGAAATTTCAAATAACAAATAAAAGATAATAAAATATCGATATTTTCTTCAAACAAGCACATCCCTACTATCTTATGCAATCCTGGTCGAAAACTAGATGGAGAAAACGACTCGCCGAGTGGGAAAATCGTTAATAAGATCGTAAAGTCGTGCGAGTTTCTCAAGATTGGAACTGATTTCGTGAAATGTTAGAAACGGGAAAAGCCTGAGAAGGATGTATTTTCAAAACAGAAACGTCGTAAACCAGCAAAAAGAGAAATCTTTATTTCTGAGAACTTTAAAGAAGTTGGTTAGAATGTATACAGGTATACGTTTTGTGTTGTAGCATGCCATTAGTATATAGTTTATTGAGGAAATATTTATTTCATTTATTGTAAAAAAAACTTTGACAAAACTTGTGCTGTATATTAGGAAAATCTATTAAATAGATTAAAAAAATACGAAAAAACAACAGAAAATATTCAGTAAGCTATAGAAATCGGAATTCAAAAACTATCCTCCATACAGATATAATCGATACCAATTAAAATATTAGGTACGTCATCGAGGGCACGATTTTAAAATTAATTGTTGTCAACCATGGACATATTCGGCGCTAAGCTGACTAACTGGAATTTAAATTTCATGCTAGGGATACAGGTGGTAGCCCTGCTGTAAAAAATGTCAAATTGCCACATTTACTTATTTATTTCCTGACATTGTCATTCGTTTTGACACTTTAGTTTTGTATTACGAGTTTTTTGTTTAAATAGTGTTGTAATACTTTGAGATTGAAAATGTTTAGAACTAGCAGACCTTGCAGTTGAACATTGTTCTTTTTACAATCTCTTTTAGTGCAAAGTGTACAAGATAGCTTAATAGCCATAAAAAACTCATCGTAACCTTATTAGAATATTTCGGAAACCGGTAGTAATGTCTCTTAAGTTCTTTTAAAGGGGTGACTTTTATTTTTGATGTAAATAACTGTTTATATAATATTTATAATTAATTTATTTCTGTTTCCTAAAATATTTCGACTAAAAGAAAATATGTAAAAGTGGGAAACGCTGTGCCGGTCAAGCTTAATCACGTGACTAAAAGTTTAATCGGTATGAACTATAAGTAATAATTCCATCCCACTTCTGATGTAATTATTTAAAGATATTTGACAGATACCAAACATACAATACACCTTAAAAATTATTAATTATCAACAAAAATTAACCAAGCTAAAGCTCGAAGCTGTTAATATTAAGAAAAAGAAATTATTTACCGGGGGCAACAGAAGTGTGAATTAGGATTAAAGAGAAATATGTAAATATAAGCTAAAAACAGTAAAGTTCGTGTGCAACCAGAACCATCGGCATTAAAGTGACATAATATATATCTCTTTTGTTCTTTTAAATCTCCATAAACAAAAAACAAAAACAAATACAGACAGCGGCAGTTATTATAGTAAACATAAAGCCGTAGGTAGTAGTAGTAGTAGTAGTAACTTAGTAGTGTAGTGTTTTAATTTTTAAATGACATTTACCGTTCAGGGCCTGGACAATCGGGGACAGTAATGGACGCTTTGTACTGTTGGCGGGCGTTGTCGATTGGTTGGTTGGGCAGTTGTGGTGGTGGTAGTAGCGGAGAGGTGGCAACGGTGGCAGGTCGCGCACGCAATATGGCAACAACGGCAGGGCGGGCAGACAGACCATGGCGGGACAAAATCACATTAGTTTACGCAGCTAGGCTTAGGTTTTTTTATATTTATATAATCTTTGGTGTTCGTAGAGGTATTATTGGTCACTAGAATCCTAGGCTCGTGGCTTTTTATTATTATTAAAAAAAAAATAAAATAAACTAAAGGTTTGTTCCAACACAGCAGAGAATCGTTTTTGGTAAGATTACGCTTATGCGCAGTAAAACATTTTCAGGTACTTTTTTAATTTTCTCTAAAACGATATGGAAATTTGGAAAAGTATAAACGGGATTAAATAATTTATAAGAAGCAAACATTATTATGAAAATTTCTGTTGGAACAAACCTTAGTTTAAGTCTTTAACAGCCTCTACACATCCCTGAAATGTTAGTTTAGTGAAACCCAGATTAATAATAAAAAACAAACGGCCAATCACGGCGCGTCTCGATCTATTTCACAAAACGTGGGAACTAATTTTTATCTGCGTCGTTAAGAACCTCTTAACTCATCTATTTTAGAAACGTCTAACGTCTAGGTTTACTTATTTCGCTGAAATTTATGAAAAAAAGTCCTTTGCCTTGGGTACAGATACCGCCACGAAACCAAATGGAACGAGGCAACAGAAAACGCACTTTTTTTCACCTTATTTCAGGCGCTTTTAAGAATCGAAAGTAGGTAGAGGCAAACAGGAGTGGGTCAAGACAACTGGAAATAAATCGAAATGCGTCAAAGATGGCGCCGAAACTGGCTTCGAAGAGTTCTCCGCATAGTGTAGATGCTGTTTTAAAGTCAGTATAAATAATCTATTATATTATTTCTTAAAATCAATCAAATAAAAACTCAAGACACGAGCTAGGACTCTTCCAAGGTGGACACTTCGAATAACTATCAAAGAACAACCAATAAAAAAACTAGAAAAAGAAAATATAATTAATTAAAAACAACAAAAAAAACTTAAAAACTATCAACAGTTTTTTTCACAGTGGCTGAAATAGAACGATATTTTTTTATTAAAAATCCTCTCTAGCATACTGCAGATGCGGTTCACGGGGACAGGGATACCACCATTTCATCCAAAAACGCCCTGTATATGTCTGTATACAGGGTGGACTCGCAAGCTTTCTCTGTCACGGAAGGATCTGCAGTATATTGTTTTTGAACGGTAAATGTGGCTTCGACGGTGGTTTTTTTTAATTATCTAAGTTAGTTTTAACATTATTATTATTATTATTATAACGAGGTCAGTGTATTAGAAAGGAAAAAATAATATACAAGGTGTTTGAATAAAAATATAAAACACGTTTAATATATTTTGTTCTATAGTGGGCCGATTTTGATGATTTTTTAAGCAATATGTAGCTAAATTATTTGACTTTTTAGTATCTCTTTCTAAAATAAAAATGAGTTCCCATCTGTCAATTATACGAGGGAAAACAAAATGTTGATATTTTGGTGTAAGTTTGAAACACCCTGTGGAGTATGTTAAGACAGCAAGGAGTTTAAACATTTTATCCTCTAGGCACATCCTTTCTAGATACTTTATTTTTGTTGGAGATATTCGCTTTTAAAAAAGACAATAACATTTTTTCGTAATTTTGTTATTTTTCCATTAAAACCATGCATTTTTTTTTATTTAAACACCCTGTATAATTGAAATAAGAAAAGACAGTTCTCAGTATAGCAGTATTTCGCTTGAAATCGTTACGTCATATACAGGTTGATATTTTTTTAGTCTATAGAAAAACTTATTATAAGAAGAAACTTAGAAATAATTTTAGTAAATAAAATTTACAAGAAAAAAATAATCAAAAATATTTTTTCTAAGATTTACTGCTATAAAGAGATGAAAATAACTATTTTTAGTTCTGAAAAAATAAATATTAATCTATAGCCACCTTACTTAATGTTAAATTAAAGTAAATTTTTTCTTAATTTTACGAAAAAAAAATGATTAAACAAATGACATTAACAAACGTGAAAATGTCACTTATTTGATGGTTTTTATCTGAAATTCTTTAATTCTATATTAATATTTAGAGGTTAAGGAAACTAAAAGTTACTGATTTTTCGTGAAACTTTTCTTGGTACTGACCTGGCTCCTTAGTTTGGTGATGTTCTGTCCACCTTTTCCAATGATGGAACCAGCCACCTGGAAAGAAAAAATAGTTAAACGACGGGCCAGGCTGTACAGGGTGAGTCAACGATAGAGTAAAGTCCATTATCTCATTTTTTTCGAGGTTTACAAAAAAATATTAAATAGAAAAGGAATACGAAAGGTTAAGATACACATTTTAAAATTATTATAGAGTATACAGGGTGCTTCAAGAAAGGGTGGCGGATATAACATATATTTTTTTGAAATGCAACACCCTATTTTTTATTTTATTTCTAGGTTCTATGTAAAATTCCATAACTTTTTTATATACAATGTTATATACCTAAAATTAATAGTTTTTGTAATATTTAAATTTGTTTAAACAAATCTTAAATTGCAGTGTGGTAAAAAATTGTCAGTGGTGCCATTTTTTCTGAAGATGGAGTACCAAAATTTGGTAGGACAGTTCTATAGAGATGAAGAAAAATATATTTTAGTTAAATGCTACAGGGTGTTCAAAATATATTTATGAATTTCAACTACTTAAAATTAAAAAATCATTTTTTTTTAAATGGTACACCCTATATATTATAATTTTTTCTGATACAGTTTGCGATTTATTCTATTTTTTGTTTTTTTTTAATATAATTACGCTATAACATCATAATTACCATGAAAAAAATGGAATAAATCGCAAACTTTTAAAAATAAATATATGATATACTTCATAAAAGTTGAAGAGTTCTGTAAAATCTATTAGAAAAAATGACAATATATAGGGTGTATCATTAATTTTTTTTTTAATTTTAAGTAGTTGAAATTCGTAAGTATATTTTTAACACCCTGTAGCATCTAACTAAAATATCTTTACATACGTGTTTTTCTATATTTCTGTAAAATGCTCCTACCAAATTTTAGTTGTCCAACTATGGCACCACTGAAAATTTTTTACCACACCGCAATCAAACATTTGTTTGAACAAATTTAAATATTACAAAAACTATTAATTTTAGGTATATAACATGATATATAAAAATGTTATGGAATTTTACGCAGAATCTCAAAATAAAATAAAAAATAGAGTGTTGCATTTAACAAAAAAACATATGTTATATCCGCCACACTTTTTTGAAGCACCCTGTATATTCTATAATAATTTTAATTTTAACCTTCCCTATAACTTTTATATTTAATATTTTTTTGTAAACCCCGAAACAAATGAAATAACGGACTTTACTCTATCGTTGACTCACCCTGTACACAATCTCTTCTTCTAACTCCTCTCTCCAGTGGCGGATACTGGAATTTATTTAAGGGGGGGGGGGCGGGATATATTTTAGGGGGGCCCAAATAAGAAGTAATGTAGAATATGCTGATTAGAGAGCCATTTTTAACCCAAAAGCCTAATAATTAACCCAATTTATAGACTTTAGGGGGGGCCTTGACCCCTTGGGCCCCCCTCTGTATCCGTCACTGCCTCTCTCCCTCACTGTGTCCCAAAAAAGGACTGCAAATCTATTTTAAGAACTCCTCTCCGGTGAAAACGATTTTGAATTAAGCCCCGAACAAACTCAACTTTCAACCCCTCCTTCATGCAGGGGCTGTTTCTCAATTAAACGTCAGGAACAGGTGTGGGCTGGGCTTTAGAACTCCATCTGAGAAGTGGAGGAGGTTCGCGAGGGGGGCAGGGGGAATCGAAGCAAAGGGGTAAATTAATATTTACCTTTAATTAAGAGCTTGGTAACGTGTTCTTGTGGCGGATATCGAGGTGAGGTAGAGGTTTAAGAAGTCGAATTTGAAGAAAACGATATTCATTTTTGCTAGGTTATTGTTTTGATGTGTGAGATTCGATATTAAAGTGTCTTGGTTAGTCCTAATGCCGTGTAATTGAGAAGAATAAAAAACAAGATATTAGAAAAAACAGTTTTTTCATTTTTTTTTCATATTGTTCCACCACTTCAAAAAATTCTAAAAAATTCCTGAGTGTAACGGAGTATAAAAGACATTTTCTGACGATTTTTAGTGAGTGAAATGGCATATTGTAGTGACTTTTAACAATGTTGTTGATAAAAAATGTAAATTCTAAACCTTCTAAAGCATTTTTTTAGATGGAATCTATGGAAGAAAATCTGTAATTACCTTGCTAGGAATGAGTAGACGAACTTCTTCATCACCTGCTCTCCTAGAACGTTTGAATGGCGATCCCATATCACCGTCAGCTTGACGCTTCATGATGGACTTAGTACCTGAAACAATAAAAAAGTACTTTATTTCTGCCCAGATGTTACGGCACTATAAAATACTATATCCAGTGACTTACGCACCATTAAATCTTGGTGCGATTCTTATCTCCTATGCCTCAAGCTTTCAAAAACTAAAGTTTTGTCATATAAAAACATTATACAACCTTTTGTACTTAATAACACCACTATTGACGTCGTGGACTCTGTGGCTCTATCAAAGAAACTAAGCGCTGCCTGTTTTGCGCTAAGATCAGTTTCTAAGGAATTTAACTTATCAACCTCTAGAATAGCCTATTATGCCCTTTTTGAGTCACATCTTCGTTATGCCCTTCCATTCTGGGGTACTTGCTGCGCAACAATATTTGATCGTATTTTCAGACTTCAAAAGAGAGCAGTTCGATATTTATTGGGACTGAACAGTAGAACTCACTGCCAGAATTTCTTTAAAAATTTCAAAATACTGACTCTTCCTTCTTTATTCATTTTTGAATCCGTTGGCTTAATCCGCAAGCACATATCTGCTATTCCCGATCTTTATCTGCCAACCCCGAGCTCAGAACTAGTTAAAGGTTCAATACTGTACAATGCCAAAAAAAAATGTACAATCATCTGCCTTTTAATTTCAAGTCGCTTTCATTCTTTCCCGCATTTCGCAAAGCTCTGAAATCATACTTACTGGAGAGAGCCCTATATGCGGTAAACGACTTTTTTGTTGATGTTTAATCATGAACAATTTTGAGTTTTAAAATTTTGATCATCTCACACGCTGGTCAAAGATAGTATTTAATATTTTATAACTCTTAAAATTATATCTATTTACTGCTTACTGTTCTGCAATTGTTCATGTATGTTCTATAATGACTTAATTTTTTTTTGAATCGTTGTTTGTATATTTTATTTTGTGCTTTTGTTTATTTTGTGAGTGCTTTGTCGACGAAGTTGTTTTGGCTTTTGCACAATAAAACGTTGTTTTTACTTTAAATAAACCCTGTTTAAATAATAGGTCAAATCTTGAGAACTACCGTCACTTTTCTAGACGGTCTTAGGTTTTGCCTGACAGGCAAAACTGACCGGCAAAACGTAACGTGTAGACGGAGCTTTAGTTCACACAAAAAGTCGATATGAAAGTTTTAATTGTCATTATCATTAATTATATTATTTGTCACCTACTCTGTTTCAAAAAACGAATACTTTTCCATATATTTATGCTAATTTTAAAACACTGAAACCATTCTTTTCTTGTTCTATTTTCAAATGAATAAATTCTTGCAGTCATATATGTGCGTATTTACGTATACATAAATATGTGTAGAGCAAACCAATCAATAATCGGTTATAATGTATTCCATTTACCTTGAAATTATTCGCATTGCGATATTACGTTCTATATATTATTTGAAATGTAATAAATATACAGGGTGTCCCAATTTGTCGTTCGAAAATATTTCGTTTCTGCAAAAAATCAAGATTTTTTGATTTTAATCGGTTTTTTGTGTGATTATACTCAATTTTTTTTAATTTAAATCGGATTTCCAACTAAGTAACTCTGCCCGATATCGATAATATTAACAATTCTACTATGTTTTTCCACATCGGTCACCAATATACAGGGTGGTCCGAACTGTATTCCGGAAACTTCGACAGCATATTCTGCAGATGAAAAAATAAGCAAAAAAGTTCGCATAAATGCACGTCCTAAAATGAAAAAGTTTCGGAGATACAGGGTGTAAAAGTTTCATTTTTATTTCGATTTTTTCCAAATAATTTCTGAAGTAACGTCAATATTTGGATTAAAATTGGTGTCTGGGAGTTTTTTGACATGAGAAATTTGATTTTGATGTCAATATGACTCCTATTTGTAGAGGGCGCCACCTACATGTGTTTTAACTGTTTTAAAGAGTAATAACTTTTCGTCCGTACCTGTATAAAACTACCGAGTGAAAAAATATACATTTCCGTGATTTTTTACGTAAAAAATGTCTCTTGGTAAAAATTGCTACGAGCAACCGATCTCAAGATATTTTTTTTTAATTTTTATGTATTTTATTCTGTAACCTTTGCCGATATCGTTATTTCAGCAAGAACAGTCGGCCGCTTAGATCAAAATGATTTTGTTTGAAAATAGTTATTACTGTTTTAAGTCGAGAATAAAATTAGTACCATCTAATGCTCAAAGTGCCAAGTGCTTACTACAGAAAAAATGTCGGTAGAAATTTGGAAAGAACTAGAAGATAAATTGAAGAAGACAGAAGTTAGCGCTCGATCAACATACAACTGTTCCAAAAAAGATATAAACCAGCCTTAACTTAAAAAAGTTCATCATCAAACTAATGTTTATTAACTTTTATTAACTTCATTTTTATTTAGGTACACTTGTTTTTTGTAAACAAACACAGTACTGGCATATATTTTAGTACAAACAAAGGAAATCGATTTTTTATAAATTTGTAAATTTACATACATTCGAAATATTTGTTGCGTACAAGAGAAAATTGGATTTTCGTTGGCAAATAGCTGCAGAGAAAATTATTATTTATGAACCAAAAATCTCATCTGTACGAAAATATATATTAGTTTATATACAAGCCTAATATTATTTTGATTGGAAATGTATGCGAATTAAACATCAAAAACATTCTGTTCGTTTTAAGCTAATTAAACAAAAAAAAATATAATTAGAGATACAGTTGGGTCAACGGATCTTTGCGTGCACGTCACAAAACTATGATTAACATCAAATCAATTCCCTTTTATACGCTCTCTTTCTAACTTAAGCAAGACAATTCGAAGAAATACTGAACGTATGTCTTCATAGTTATCCGACATACGGTCGGAGCTAAAGTTATGTGTAAGACAAGGAAAACCCCTAGCCAAGGATCACTCAAGTTTCTTTTCTAAACATTTAAAGTCAATGCCGGCGAACGCAAAAATAAATCGATTATTTATTTTCGGGTTCTCGTTTTAAAAGAAATGTACTAAATTTAGTATATTTTTTTAATAAAGGTACACTGGTGTTCACTTCATACTAACTTCATTTGCATTATAATTTCTTGTTTTTATTTTATAAGGGATCCAAGAACTACATCCTATTAAAAAAAAAGACAGCTTTTCCTTTATAATTTCCTAAAAAAAGTAACTTGTACTACAATTTAGTACATTTTGTGGAGACGTGCGTACATCTGTAAAACCCTGGCAGCATCCATGCATGACATTTTTGTCATTCGGTGTTTATGTTTATGATTTTGTCATTTTGTCAAAAAGTTAGGGAAAGTTGTTTTGTATCTTTATTTTCTTTGGACATCGTTTATTGCGACTAGCTTTTGTGAAAACTTTTTGTGATTTAACAACAGTTCTTTCCAAAATTTATTTTTCGTGATTCGTTAATATAATTTAACATTAACATTGAAATGCCAGGAAAACGTTTAAATTCTCAAGCACGTATCCTTGTTGGAAATCTTATCTCTTATTTTACGTCTGAAAAAGAGAATAAGGGGCCACTAATTTCCCTGAATGCTGTTCAAGAGGTAAATATATATTTTGATTTATAAAAATACAAGTGCCTAACTAATAAATTTACAGAGAGTTGCTGATGCCTTGAAGATCAGTCTAAGAACGGTTTCAAGCATTAAAATGTCTAAAGATCGAAATGAGCTACCCTCAACACCGGGAAAGAACAGACCTCGAAAAAAATGTAAAACTCAAGACTTGAATGAAGGTTTGAAGATGGAGGTTCGCAATATTCTGTATGACTTGTATGCACAAAGTAAGTACCAATATTATTTTACTGAACTATTTTACTAAATTTATATTTTCAGAGAAACAAGTTACAATTAATAAACTAAACGAGGAGTTGCGTCGCAGAGAAATTGTTGACATAAGTTATGGAAGTCTTCGAACACTCCTTTTTAGTTTGGGATTTAAATACAAAAAGGATGATAACAGACGAGCATTAATGGAGACATCCAATATAGCTTCTATGAGAGCAGCCTTTTTCAGAAAATACATGGAAAACAAAAATTCGCAATTTCCTCGTCAACTCGTATTTTTAGATGAAACGTGGATCTTTTCCAAAGGCAGTAAAATGAGATCATGGCAGGATGATAGTGTTAAGAGTGTTCGTAAGCCAGGTGGTTTTGATGGCAAACGTTTCATTGTATTGCATGCCGGACACTGTGGAGGGTTTGTTAAAAATGCTGGTTTAATTTTTGCTTCAAAATCTAAGAAAATGGATTATCATGGGGAAATGAATGCAGAAATGTTTACAAAGTGGGTAGAAAACCAGCTCATCCCAAATTTAGAAGAACCTTCCCTTATTGTAATGGATAATGCTCCATACCATTCTGTTGAGTTAGAGAGACAGCCATCATCCTCATGGAAGAAATATGAAATTGTTGAGTGGTTGGAGAAAAGTAATATACCTTATGATAAAAAAATGTTTAAACCTGAACTATTAAGCATAGCAAAAATTCACAAAAAAACAAAACAATATAAAATAGATAAATTATTACAAGAAAATGGTCATGAAGTATTAAGATTACCACCTTACCATTGCCAGTTTAATGCAATTGAAATGATATGGGCAGATTCAAAATATTTTTACAATGCCCACATTGGTGAAAATGGACATAAAGATGAAAATGTGCTAGATATGTGGAGAAAAGCATTAGAGAAATGTACACCAGAAATATGGCATGCTAAGGTGGTTCACACTGAAAAATTAATCGAAGACTGGTATGATAGGGAAGTCATTATTGAAGAAGTACCCCAAATGTTTATCAATGTCAGTGATGAGGAAAGTTCAGAAGATAGTGAGAGTGGGGAGAACTAAAGTGGACTACGTACATTTTTCAAATTTTTTAATTTAAATACTATCCATGCTATTTTTAAACAAATAATTGTACTGATCCAAGTTACTTGTAAAATTAATAAATTATTTTTCATTTTCATTAAATTTATTATCTGTTGGAGGTATTATTTAACAAAATATTTAGACTTTTTGTTTT